ATAAACAGATGTATCAATAATATCTAATATTTCTCCTCTGGCTCCTGATTTATCTTTCTCGCTGATATTACATGTGAATGTATCTGTTTCTACATTCCACTGCAACCCAGGAGATCTTTCAGTCGGGAGCTTGTCAGCCTCGAGATGAACATTTTTAAGTTCCTTTGATCTTTCATTTTCTGGTATTGCATCCATGACCTTTCGACAGCAAATCAGTGAGCTGATTTTGCATTATGGTTGCTTTATTTGCATCCTTTGTAGCTTTGAGAAGATCATCCACATAAAAGTTTCGTTGCACTGTCTGAATCACTTCATCGTTGTAAAATCTGGAGTTATCCTCAGCTGCTCTTTGCAAGGCAACATTGCACAGCTTAGATACCATACACCTCCAAATATGTGTACCATAATCTGATATTCCGAAGGGTCTATCTTGAAATTACCTCGTTGATGCTATAGAAATCTATATGCATTACCGTCATCAGAATGCAGTAACACGCGTACCTGGTGAAACATTGCTTCAACGTACGCCATTAGGGCTGGGTTCACTTCTAAATCTGCATAATACATCAATGAGTGAATTGTCAAGTCAGGTCCTTGAAGAACATTTTCATTCAAAGAAATATTCTTGCATATTGCAGCACAGTCGATTACAATCCTGAATATGTCTGGTTTCTTTGTATGCTTCACGCTATGGTGTGGCAGGTACCATAATTTGCCATTGCTCACTTCTATTTCTGCTTCTGGAACTTGTGTAGCGTAATTCTTTTCAAGTAAGTCATCAATGAAATTGCTATAGCGCTGTTTTAGATCTGGATCTCTTTCCAGCCAATATTTCAAGTATTTCAGCCTTTTCTATGCTATTGGTCGATTATTTGGTTGATTAGGAGGATCGTGCTTACAAGGAATTGCAATATGGTAATGGTCTTAGTGCAAACTTACAAAATTCTCAAATACAGCAAGAGCTCTGGAATCTTCTACAGACGTAATTTTCTGGTTATCAACAATTGACTCTTCAAACTCATCACTGAAGTATTTCTTCAGCTGATCATAAAGATGATTATCAGAGGAAACAGAACCGGAATGATAGCAATGATTACCTTGTTTGGAAGAAACACCAACGGGTCCATTAAATGTCCAACCAAACATTGTCTTTACTGCATACGGACAGCCATTTTCACTTTTTTGCACTTTTTGTGGCTACAAACCGCAAGTGGCATCATGTTCAAATTTTCACAGTTTCTAAAAATACTCCTTCTACGCAAAGTCTTATACGATTTAATTCCATCGCGGGGACCCCTTAATTATAAAAAACAACACCCTAATCTCAGGAAAAACATTTTGGGCCTTTGGTGCATCAGCCCTTGTCTTGCCTGAGCAATGACGCAATTTTATAGTCGGTGTTTGATTCCAGGGAAAAAACTGCCTTAGTTTTTTACCCCGACAATCAGACTGATACACCTGTCACACAATCGAATGACTGTGTGAGAAGAAGTGAGACAGGAGAGGGCAGAAGGAAGTATGTAACGGGATATAAGCAGGAGGAGAAGTGAGTAAAAGGGGAAAGGGATGGGAGGGGAAAACGCGTACAAACAACGCGTGAGTCTTGCTGCAAAATATGACATGACCCTAGCTGCATCACTGTACTTAAACAAATATGCCAGGAAAAGACCACCTAGAAAATACCACAAGGTGATTAGCAAATAGCTAAGGTAACTTGAAATCTACAGCCTACTAAGGATATACATGCGGGACCACCCGATTCTAGAAAAGGGGGATCTGCGCACTTTCCCCGCGGGTATTAACTCGAATTAAGCGATTAATTCCCATAAAACCACATATCAAAACAGTCGACCCATTGTTCCACAGCCAGGTCAGAATCATCAGCGCTGTCAAACTTGGTTTCGCGAATTTTTTCTTTCACCGTTGGAAAGAGAGAGAGAAGTCACAAGATGCCAAATCAGGTAAATATGAATAATCCTACATGTACAAGTGATACATTTTTACATAGCTATGGTTTTCAGCTAGCGAATCAACATTGTATGAGGGGAAGGGGGGCAACACCCTCCTTGTTGACATGGAAATGGAAGGGGATACGCGAATTCACAGAAATCTCAGGGTGTCCCAAGGACTTTTGGCAGGCATTGTAGATCTGCTTAATTTCTTTGAGCTCTTTGAATACATTGAAGTGAGGCGTGAAATGACTAGTGAGAAGAGCGTGAACTGATTTCACTTATCGAGTCTTCGGGATTGACTTCAGCCAGCATCTCTGTTGATCTAGAAAGGGGCTGAATCAACAACGATACTCTTTCCTTGATATCATAACATCTTCTTTCAGCTTCGTGTGTGTACGCGAGGCATTCTCAATATCATCTTTGTCAACTATTACAGCTTTGTATTCTTGACATACCACTTAGAAATTTTCTTAGAAATTTTCGTAAGATTAGTTGAGCCTGACCTCGGCAACTCTCAATTCTCTACGGCATGTTCAGTAGTCAAACAATCAGCAACATGGTTCAGAACTTTAGCCAGCTCTCGTTTTCCATTGGCTCTCATTTTCTTTATACGTCGGACATGCTCAGTATTGATACTATCAGCACTACAGAACGCCATTATCTCTTGTTGTTAAATACGAACTGATATAGCTTCAAAGCAAATCTGTTACAGAGGAGGGTACTAACTAATTTGGAATGAACCCAGACACCACAAAGCAAACACAACGCTGGCGTTCTTACAATCTTGATAATTGTTCGCTGAATAAACAACATTATAAAATAGTTAATGAATGTTTAATTAACTAATTAACTAATTCTAGATGTAATGCAACTTAAAAAAACAACGTAAAGAAATAACAAGATAAACAATAACAAATTAACAGAAATTTATTCCAACTTACTATTTGTTTGACCTCGTAGAATTATCTAAGCAATATAGGCTTATCTACAGCTAAATACTTTGCCGAAAACGTTTCCCCTTTTTGTTCGCAACTCGTCCTAAACTACCACTGATGTTGTTTTCTCTCTCACTCTCTGTGGGTAAAATACGCCCAATGCTTATATAAGGCTACGACTACAGATCCCCGAAAACACGCTCACTAGAAGAAATATCACGTGTCCCTGAGGACATGCCTAAACAAAACTAAACGATGTTTATCATGGCTGGGTCAAAGGTCCAAAATAGTTCTATGCAAACAACAACAACTAAAATAAAAAATAATGACAATCTGTATTCTACAACTATCCCCATTCTCCAATATCATTAAGCCTGGTTCCCACTTGGTCGTTTGGGTCGTTTGAGTCGTCAGAGTCGTTCCTGAAAGACACGAACGACCCAAAGAACTCATTGGTTTCCACTTGGTCGTTTGAGTCTTTTGAGTCGTTTGTTGATGCTGTTCATTGCTTGCACCATGCGTCGCTCATTTAATTTTGGCGACATGCGTGGAAGAAACGATGGTAGCATTTGATAAACAACAACTGGTGTTGCAAAGTCAACTATTTCTACCCCTGGTGACTTTGTACAGACGACGATGTTAGATCACTAAATTTCAGTGCAATAGCTTGCCATGATTTGATATTTTTGTATTTATTTTTAAACTCTTTCCAGTATTTGTTATAATAGCACTTGTATTTTTGAGAATTTCCATATAGCTTGCTGTGAAATATTCAGCTATCTTGTTCTTGTTCTAGTCAAACACGCGGTTACAAGATAACCCCTACTCTTGAAGAAAAAGTTATTAAAGCGTGGGTCGTTTGAGTCGTTTGAGTCGTTTGTCGGTTTCCACTTGCAAAAATCATTCATGCGTGGGTATTTTGGGTCGCGGAGATAGAATTTTTTCTATCTCTGCGACAACTGTCGTTTGAGTGTTTCGGGTCTTTTGGGTTGTTGGCAGGTATGTTTCCACTGAGTCTTTTCAGTCGTTTGGGTATTTTCCAACGACCCAAACGACCCAAACGACCAAGTGGGAACCAGGCTTTAGCAACTGAAGGGACAATTGAGTTGATAATAGGTTGCCTGTATACAACTTTCTGTTCTTGGAATACCCAGCAATTTACGCTGCATTTCATATCTTTCATTCCTTTCATGAAAAAAATTGCTACTTCCGCCCCGTTCCCCCTAAAACAATGTTGATGATTGAGAGAAATATCATAAAAGAAGCGCAAAAGAAAGTGCTTCCTAAAATCCTAACCCGTTTGATTGTAAACCAACATTGTTCTGTAGGAGAGAGAGGGATGATTGATTTTGACCTTGGAAATTGACGTCAGTGTTCCAAGACTTTTGGCAGGCATTGTACCTAGTTTGTTAAAGATTATCACGGTATACCTTCAATCTCCATTCTCCCGTTTTCAACATCAAAACGCAACACATCATTGATGAGAATGTATTGTTTCTAAAAATCTCGGTCCCAGTCCTTATAAGAATCTAAACGTCTCGATCGTGCTTTGCAAATCAGCCTAACTGCATATATAAATATGTCTAATAAATAAATATGTGCATATACATATTATTTCATAATGTGGAGCCTTGTTTGAACTAATTCTCCTACAGCATTCAAGAAATTTTGAACCAATTCCTTTTTGGAGTATATTCCAGATATGATTCATAAGCACATTTTTGTTGTTCGGTGTGATCTTGCTTTTCTTTACAAATACAATCATTGCAACTTTGCTTTACCGATAATCCATTATCATAGCAAGATTAAAGTTGCAAAGTTTTTATAACCTGATGAAACAAATGTATTAATAATTACAATTGATGTTTAAATGGATGAACCATTCAATAAACAGCGCAGGATATACATATCAGCAGACACACTGCCTGAAAAAACAGAATTGAGCAAAAAGTTAGTTTTTAATTAATTTCAATCAATGGAGGAGTTACTGGCATTTGGATCAGTTTACCAGCGTGTACGCAAGCTGAAGTTTGGCAAAGGTAAAGGTATTTCTAGGTAATCCACCCAATTTGTTTTTTAGCAGGTGCAGCGACGTTGCAGCGACAGTGCTTTTCATCTAGATATTGATGAATAAAATATCTGTTGACAGATATTAATATCTGTATGCACAGGCACGTATCATCCTAAATATTGATTATCATTCCTCAAACGCCTATAAAACATCTCTCGAGGACATCGACTCGACAGCTGATGGCAATTTCTCAACAGAAGGTAAGTGCACTCGAATAGCTTTAATATGAATGCGTCAGTTTTTGATAAAGTATTTCTATTTTTAAATCAATTTGCAAGACGCCTGTTACGTTATTCTCTTTAATAAAGAAGGTCATTGCGATAAGAATTTTGCAAACGAGGATTTCGCGTCAATCACTTTTTGGGCCTTTTTGGGTAAATTTTTTAACCTGGACTCAGTACGTAATTTCGTTTTTTTGCCCAAAAAATCCAGTAATTCCTAAAGAAACTATTTGCATATTTTGGCTCTTTGTCAGTACCAGTATCTGTCATTCTGCAGAGAGAGTATGGCATTTCTCGACTATATATCGCACGTGCACATTGATTTGAAGAAACGTTACAAACCATATCTTACAATTTACTGTAGGATGTTTTGATATATTGTATTGAGTCTTTAGATACTTCTTCAACCATTGACAGAAATAATGCTGGTAAAGGGTTTCCTTGCAACCCAAGGGCCATTAGATGAAATAGCTTGCCTATTTCAATGATTTTAATCTAAATACTATATGGATCATTTTTGCAAAAAAACGTTACTTTACATCCTGTTGTTGCCAAAGCGGCTACACTGATATCTGGGGTACCATATGGAGCGTCCTTTCTTTCCATATTACAATTGCACTTTTTGTAGAGTGTTTCATGATTTCACATGCCATTCACCCCCATTTTACATGGTCTTTAACTAAATTCTAATGACATTATGTTTTTCTGCGGCATTTAAATCCTCAGCCTAAAATTTCGTGTGGCTTTTCAAATTCTCTATGGCCCTTAACGTACTGATTTCTGACATAAAACTCATTATGGAAAAGTGGAAAATCGAGAAACCTTTTTCAAGTTTGACAAAGATAATCCGATTTCCGCTTGGAAATTCGAGCGCTCTGCAGTTGGTGTGTAAAGTGGTTGTTTGCTGTTAGGTTAATGTAATGTGGTTTAAAACGAAGAATGATTTGACTTTGGGTATACTGTGGCACCAGAAAAATGCTTCAATTGCTAATCATTTCCGTTTTCTAGAGCTCGTCCTGCCCTGGGGAAGGACGACGGAACCTTTTGAGGGAATAGTGAATTTGGTTCAGTTGCAATTTGGGTGGCCGCACTGGAAAATCAGCATTTGTTTACTAACAGGCTTAATCCCTTTTGTGTGTCAGAAGTTTTCCTGAAATCTTGTACGGTGCGTCTAGGGCCTATAACATAGAATATTCACACTGCTTATTCATCCTGCGTGGCATTACTTATTATATGGCTTTATACTCCGAGTGGCATTTCACTTTGTATGGCGTTTCAAATTTATATGGCGTTTCAAACTTCAAATGGCGTTTCAAATTTATAGACACTCCATTGTACCAGAGCAACAATATTTTGAGCGGGGAAGTGTAATTTTAGAAGAAGCGGAGTAGTGTTACCTCCGATGCTAGCTAGATAGTGTTACTTCCTAAATGCGTAAAGAAATACAGGCTGGAGTTTGGTCGGTTTACAAAGTTTCTTGGATTTAGAGTTTTGACGTAAGTAGCTAGAATAGATAACATATAGAATATGTCTACAATTGTAATATTATGGTTTAGTTTCATTCAACATTCAATCGCTGATTCACATCGCCACATCGTACACTCAATTTTTATAAAAAAATTCCGTTATAGTACACCCGTTTCTTGATACTTTGTCTATGTTCATGAAATGTTAGAGTCTTTGTTTTTTTATTCAATAGAGCAGCTTTATATATTATGATAATGTCAATATTCGAACAAGTGAGATGCTTATGAAACGATGGGAAGGACGATAGGCCTTCTTGCAGATGTAATGTTTGTCATTAGCAACAGAAATTAGTTAAATGTTCGATTAAGGTTAGTTTCTTTTAAAAGCCAGGGGCGTTGTGGCTTCTAGAAAAGGGATAGGCGAAAATTATCTTGGGCCCGCTTATTTGTTTGAAATCTCCAATAAGAAACTACAGGTCGCCAAAAATGGTACCTACCTGAAATGCATGCACCAAAATCACACAAAAAATTTTGCGATCGCGCCCTTTTAACTAGTTTAAAAACACATTTCAGAATGTTTTTTACATTCGTTTTACCACGTTTTATAACTTTTTAGACAAACTTTGTTGCGTTTCGTTAAAACTAAGTTCTCGAGGCCCTGGGGCAGTTTGCCCCTCCTTTGCCTCTCGGGGGAGGGGCGACCCAGAAATGCAGATTTACCAACAAAAAACTTATAAGAGTTCAATTTTTCTTCATAAATTTGAGCTTTACATTTGACCAAAAGAACTTAACAAAATCAGAAAATGAGCCTCATTTTTCACTGCGATACTGCAAAAAAATTCTAGTCTTCTCTTTTAAATAAGATAATTTGAAATATCTAAAATCAATTTTTTTTAAACAGTTTTGCTGTTAATAGAGATGCTCACAGTCGCAAGGTTTGCCTGCGAGGGCGCGCCTGCGAGCGCAAAGCCGATTAAAAATGTGCATCCAAGTGAAGTAGGGTGCAATTTATAGTCAGATACTGATAAATCGAGAACCGATGTTATGCTAAATTCTGTTACACAAACTTGCCTTTGTCAAAAGCAGATACCATATCAATATCATCATGAACTACATGTAACTACATGTAAAACTGAACAGATAACATAATAAATGCTACTAACGTTATATTGTGTACATAAGAAAGGGAATGATCCAGTTTTTATCTATGGGTTGTTTTGGTTTGTCAAGTAGCCCTATCGCTGTTTTCGATTCGATTTCATCAAATAGAGACATCTTCACGATTTCATCAAAGGCTTTTCGATATCTTAAACGCTTTACTTTAAATGGAGCAGTTTTGTTTAGAACATCTTCTTTTAAGGTCTGTGAATTTTAGGATTTTGCTTTCGCTTCCTTGGCAAAGGTTGCAAGAATTTCGACATCACACTGGGTTTTTCTCATTTCGAAGAAAGATTCTATTCCCAATTACTTTCGTTGAAATGTCTTATTATAAAAAGTATCTTATAAGGATACTCCGTTTTTTAGCCTTGAGTTTCTCATGCTTGTAAGATTTGATTATTTTAATATGAAAATGCTTTTACTCCAAAAATTGAAGAAATAGAGGCTTGTTTGGTTGTTACAAATTGTCGAAAATTATTGTTTTTGATTAATTATTTGGAAGTGCGGCATGAAATTTCAGAAATCGATAGCTACCAGATTCCAAAGCTTGAAGACTTTAACTTAAAGGAAGCATCCTTTCTTCAGCCTACTATGTTTTTTTCTTCTTCTGCCCCGCTAGAATTTACTTCTCTCTGACATAGACTATCCCCTTCACTCCAGAATCTCAGACAAAACATCAGACAACGAGCCCTCGACCTCACTATATCGGCCAGGGCTCTACAAAATAAAAATAGGAATACATAGCAAAATAGGAAAACAAGGCATAAAAATTCTGTACTCAATTTTCTACACACTTTAGGCGCAGTTAATGATGTTCTGAAATACAATGCAAATGGAACAATCAATTTATTTACACATATAGTGAACAATAATGACCTCGGGGACAGAGTCCTGTGGAACGCCTACATTTTCAAGAGACACAAAGTTACAAACTTTGACTTTTCCAGAAAGAAAATAATCTGAGCCACATACATTAGATATTGGCCTTTGGTTTTAGATTCTTCATTGCCGGAAAAAAAACAATCATGATTTCTATTTCATATTTACAGGCCAGGCAGTGACACATGAAAAGGAGACTGATGACCGACATGAAAAGGACAGTGGTGACAACGATTGTTCTTTTGGCCCTCGTGGCCACAACTTCTCTTGCTGATATGAGTGCTGGAACCAAGAATAAAATCAACACAGGCATATCAAGTGGCAAAGGGGTGGTAGACTTTTTGTCAAAACTCGGGGACCCAAAGACACAGAAGGTCTTTGATTCTCTGGGCAAAATGGCCAGCTTTCTTGGAGCTGCAGGTGGTCTTATATCCTTTGCTCTTCTTTTCGTCCCACAACAGGACTCAGCCGAGCTTAAGTACATGAAGGAAAAGTTTGCTGAAGTCAACATGAAACTGGACCAGATAACGTCAGAGCTGGACAACGTAAAGGACCTGATCACATATGAAAATCAACGGGCGGTGTACGTCTCATCCGCAGCAAAGATTCTTTATGGGCATAAAAGGTTGCAGGAGTTTTTGAATGAAATTCAGAAAACATCTTGCTCTGGTACAAGCGCTTGCAACCGGATACGAGCACGCATCGCCTCTCGCTATGTCAACGATTTCAACGTAAAAAGTGACATTTTCAAGATCATAAATGGCGCTACAAAGACAACATCAGCATTTGGTGACCCACTGCTTAACCTGGTTGGCAGTAAGTTTAAATGTCATATTGTAAAGATCGATCAGTTTTCAAACAGCATTCTGAAGCTTTCTTTCAAAGCCCAGCAAGTCATTCTTGCACATGAGAAGCTCACAGGGAGTTCACTAAGCATCACCCAAAGTATGGACAACTGGCTAAAGGGAATCTACGATTTAAGAGATAAAACAACGACCGTAAAAACAGCTTGCTTTCAGAACATTGGAAATCAAATGATCGCCGACATAAATGAGAAGCAATACCAGGTTGGAGTATCATCAAATGACGCAGCTAACATTGCAGTAAAAACGTTCTTGGATGACAAGTACCCTTGGCTTGGATGGGTCGTCTACTCGTATGGAGCATACGGTGGATCTAAACATCAAGTTACCAATGTGAATGGTGCATTTTGGAACATGCCCAACGACCAAAATGAAAGAAAACGGAACATTATCGTCAGCTTTACAGACAAACATGGAACATATGCAAACCAAAAGTACAAAATGCTAAATGCAATTGATGAGATAATCAAGAGCACAAATTTCTACAGTGTACGAAACGATGCTGGCAAGTTGCTACCAAAAGTTAGAGAGGAGTTAAAGAAAGAGGGTGTATGGAAGTATGTCAGCAGTTTGAATGTACTTCGAAAATACGATGGATTGACGATTAAGGCAGATAATGCTCTTACTTATGTTAGTGAAGAGTATACCTTTCAATCTCACTACATGTACGAAGGAAGGAAACAGTATTTATACGACAAAATTCGACTGGTAATAGCATTGAAATCAGAAGAGGAAGCAAGTGGTAATGGGTGTCAGTTAGACTGTAACAGAAAAGGCAATTGTGCAAGGTTTCCTTATTCATCGGTACAGTACTGCAAGTGCCAACACTACTATCAAGGAGACCAATGTCAAGATCATGCAAAGGCTCAACTGGCTAAGACAATGGATGCAATGCTAGCAAAAACCCTCAAACTGCCGATGCTCAGTGACATTGCGTATGACATCAAGGACCTTCGTGAATACATCGGGGTGAGCTTTGGTTCATTGCAGGCAGCTGTCAGCGAGTTGGAGAAAACATTCCAGCAAGCATTTGATCACCTTTCAAGGCAACTCACAAACCAGTTCCAATGGGCAAATCTAATCAGCCAATACAGCCATTCTCTCCAGAGAATCAAGTATTATGCGTACCGATTTGAGAGTCTGCCAACACGATACGCAAACAGGATTGAAGAGGAAGGCAAGAAATTAGCAACAGCAGTCCTTGCAACTGATGGCATTGAGAAGTGGCTGTATGACGTCAACTTTCTATTCGTTGGGAAAACGAACACGCCAGTATTGAATCATCCACCCATGTTGGTTACTTTCATGAGCAGGTACCAGGCGCAGGCCTGCTCAACTACCTACAAGAGGGCAGTGGATAACACATGGCGACAAATGGTTCTTCTTCAACAAATTGGGTACATGCTTTGGGCTCAAGCATTGGAGTTCGAAGGGAGGAGCTCAGAAAGTGTCAAAACCCTCTATGAAACACGAACAGACGCACAGGTAAAAATTTTTTAATCATACATACATATTAAAACTAATTTATTTTCCTTTGGGTCTAGAAGGGGTTATATTTGTTGATAGCAATACAAATATTTACACAGTGATAGATGGCAGTGAACATGATTGTGTGAAATAATAAAAAGCTTAAATAAATCGAACCAAATCCTAGAGGAGAACAAGAAACGCCAAAATTCTTCTCCTGAGCAAATCGTGTCAATAGGATACATAAGTAAAAATGAAATTATTGGAATTTTCTGTGCTCTTTTGATATTTTCTCTTTCTGGCCGAACTACTCATTTCATTGACTTATTTTCGTGAAATCATGGACCCAAAACGCTTGTTATTTTTTGTTATTTCTTAGGCCACAAAATATAACCAAGCAACATGCACGTACAGCATTCCGAACTCGGTTAACATTCAGTGCTCCGGAGGGCGGTACTTGCATCCGGGTATGACCTTGACAACACAATGCAACACAAATTACTATGTTACTGGTTCTTCTCAAGCAAACTGTGCCACCAAGCAATCAGGTTGTGCAGCATGCAATTGTAACGCCGCGGGCTCAAACGGCCATGAATGCAGCGATATCACCGGTAAATGCAGTTGCAAGACGGGTTTCTACGGAGACAAATGTCAACATCGAAATTGTGTTTGGAGCAGGTGGTCCGGATGGTCTGGTTGCAGTAAGGCATGTGATTACGGTGGCCAAAAGACAAGAACTAGACATCATCAAGTAACGAAACAAGGTCAAGGAAGCAGCTGCACAGGAGCTTCAAGCGAAAGCGCATCTTGCTTCAACCGCTGTTGCAGCAACCAATTTCATTGTTCCAACAGAAGACATTGCATTCCATTGTCACAAAAATGTAACTACGACAATGACTGTGGAGACAAACAAGATGAATCGTCGTGCCAAGAGCGCTGTACTACGAAATACACATCGTGGAATAGCCATGGGGGTGGAAAATCGGTTTACCTTGACCGTCATCGTGTAAATTGTGGTGGAGCCGGTAACGTACTCAAAATGTTTCATTTGGAGAGAAGTGGCGGTATCATCAGGTACAAATACATATGTTGTACACTCAACCAACCATCAATTTGCTCTCTCTCGAAAAAGGCAAACGGCTTCACATACGATGGAAACGATGACACTGTTTACTTTGACAGACAGTCTATTTCCTGCGGTTCATATGGATACCTGAATGATTTCTGGCTCTCAAGAAACAGCAATCATGATCATATTAGGTAAATACAAATTTTTTACAGTGTTACAAATATTAGGTAATGCTGAATGAGGCTGATAACACCTTCAAAGTGACTTTAATCGATGTGATTTTTGAGACCACCCAACCTAAGAAAAAATGAAGCCTTTTAAGCCGTCGACCTTTAACATATAATTTTTGTAGAAAGTTCATCAACTGTTCCATGGCTGTTGCAGTGAAAATGAAGCATTGAAGCTCATTTCATTCATGAAAATGGCCGACAGATTATTTCGCAACCTCTTCACTGACAAGAAGTTCAGTAAAACAGCAATAGGGACTATAAGGGGAAATCTTCAATTCCCTCAATGAATTGCTAATATGAACAACAGGGTTTTCCCCTTCAAAGAAAATCGTAATTACGTCATTGCGCAATGCATTCTGGTGCTTGTAGTTAAACCCGCGAACATTTGTTTATGTTTTGTATGGTGATAAGACGAAGCACTGTTATTATCCAATGATCTTTGCTCAAATAATCAAACAAATCATGGAAATAAGGCAGAATGCACCGAACTTTGGCAAAAGAACTCAAATGAAGATACGTTTTGTCAGCGAAAGGTCTCTATTCTTTCCATTCTTTCGGCAACTTTATTCGTCTACATCTTTCGTCGAGTCTCGCTAAAAACTACGCTAAACGAGATACTATAATTACGTATGGGGAAAGGTTAAGATTATGAAAATAATGAATCTTTTCTGAATATGGTTAATATTAATGTATTTTTTATATTCTTAGCAAATCATAAAACACTAGAAAAACATATGATGCAATGTTTGTTGTGACTCGGGCGGGACATAGGTGGACTACAGAGAGAAACATTTCTTCTTCTTAAGAATAAATATATATAATGATTAGAAATTTGTCTGTTGATATTTCCGTAGCACAGTGCTCAATACATTTACACGTAGAGCGTAATATAGCATAGAGTTGGAGAAAATAAAACTAAATGTTTTATCTCTACAAGCCTGTAGAGACACTCTTCAAGAGTAGTGAGCTACTCACCAAAGTAACTAACAACAGTGACATTAGAGCGAACATATGAAGCCTTATCGCTTAAAATTCGGCCTGATATTTTTTTATTTCCTTTAATCGTGATAATTGTTTTATTCGTTCAGTGGAAAATGCCAACGCAAAGGTCAATTTAATCACGATATTAGCGTTGGTCGTTGCGCGATCATTACGATTAACTTGTGTTTCCATTGCCCGATTGTCAGGATTCCAGCGAATAGCAAGTTGAACTTGTCGTCTTTATTGATTCAAGTGGTTAACAGCTATTCTTGGAATTAACTTTCATTGCAATGTCAGTCAGGGATGGCGCCACGGGGGGTGCTCGGGGGCAGGAGCCCCCCCCCAAAAAATTCATTGAGCCCCCCGTCGGCACTTCAATTTTTGAAAAATTTTAAGCAATGTCGGCACCTTCATAACTTCCACTTCGTGATTTTTTTTTTCCATTGTTTTATTTTTTTCAAATTTATTTTTCATTTATTGAGCTAGAATTACCAATACGGAAATGGTGCTATATTACATCTTTGTGGGTGGCTCACTCACTGTCGGCACTCTGATATAACAGCCCCCCAGCATTTCTTTTCTGGCGCCATCCCTGATGTCAGTTGACTCAAATTCAGTGGTAGGAACATGATTTTGACTGATAGCTTACTTCACGTTTCAGGTTCGAATACTACTGCTGTAATTTGAAGCATAGCAAACACCGAAGCAGGACCAGTTGCTACACAAGTTACACTCCTTTCACATACGATGGAGATGGAAAGAACTACTACTTGGATAGACAAACAGTACAGTGCAATAACAGATACTTCCTAACCTATTTCCGACTGCAACGCAACAGCAGACATGACCACTGGAGATACCAATATACCTGCTGTCACGTCAGGGCCTAAGAATTCTCTTTATAATCAAATATAGATATTGCTTTCAATATAAACCACTTTTTGCTTTTTAGGCATTAAAGCCCTATATAAACGCTGTATCAACATAACATAGCATGAGAAGAAACGAGTGTTATTTTTTGCCCTCTCTGATTTGAAATTCAGTGGCGTGATGTCCGAGGGGGGAGCACGTGTCCCCAGTGACAAGAGACGAAAATGGTCGCCAAAGGTGAACCTTTAGCATTGGCGCCAAAAGCCCATTGAAAACGAGCGTGCACGTAAAAGACAACTCGAAATAGCCGCATTTTTCAATGTAAAGAGATCTTTCTCCTTTCCACTTCCGCACTCTCGCGCCTTCAACCATCTCCGCAACTTTTTGTAAACTCTTAACGCTCTGGAACCCGGGTCAGGGCCCGGGATGCAATACCATCCTAGCATCCCTTCTTACCATCCGACCAATGAGTGACACAGTATGAGAGAGAATGAGCATGCTAGTCTTTCAAGGAGCTTCATCCTCTAACTTGGATGCCAAAGAGAGTTTTAGCTGTCACAATAGCTCATTTCATTACTGAGGCAGGAAAAAAGGGATAAACTATAACGATTTTGAAATTTTCTTAGTTGAAATGTGCAATGTGCTAGCCAAGCAGGAGAAAGCACAACCACGTTTTCACGTTCATGCGGACAAAAATTCTTTCCGATGGCCTTACCTGCTTACCTGAACAAAAAGTTATAGAAAGCCAGAGACGAGACAATTAAAACTATCTTTATAGAAGGTTGACGAAGATGAAGGCAGTTTAACAATCTATAATGATGATGATGATGATGATGATGATGATGATGATGATTATTATTATTATGACGATGATGATGATCATGATGACTATGCAAACGCCGTGACAGATTGTGTCTGAATTGAAATTTAGTCAAAATATTTGTCCGAAATTTTGTCAGGACAAATTATTGTAAATGGCTTTGAAAAAAGCAAACATTAGTGAACTAAAGCTCTTCGTCTGACACTCTTCAGACGAAACTATACACCTATACAGTCATGTGTTCGTGTTTCTGATTGGCTAACTTCGATCCACAACTGGGTATATATATTTCCTAGCGTAGAGTTTTCGATCTATGTTATGACGTTTTAAACTCTGAAGAGTGTCAGACGAAGAGCTTTAGTTTACTAAATGTTTGCTTTTTTCAAAGCCATTTACAAGTTTTGTACCACCAAAAGATTGTTTACAAATTATTGTTGTTAATTTAACTAAAGTATTATCAATGGCGTCCAAACGAACCCACCTACTCTTTATACCGACCTATCAACACCCATCTACCCCTGTAAGAAACCAATTTACTGGTTCATAAGAAATCAACGAAGAAACAGAGAACTTAATACCACCAGATTCTATGTAATACCAAACGGGCGATTCTTGGCTTGTGTGAGCAATTTACCGAAAATATCTGCCATGTTAGCTTTTCGGCGCTCGAAATTTCTTCTTTAAAATTGCAACAGTCAGTTATAACAATTCTGTACCATTAGGGACTAGGTGAGATGAGATTGCCACGTTTCAGAGCGCGAAAATAAGTATGAGAAGGTTGCAGGATAAATGCTTTGCCAATAGATTAAAACATTTTTACCTGAAAGAATGCAATCATCGAATACCAAATTAAGAGTAGCATGGCAGCATAAATTGATACTTTTGATTCTACTTGTCAATTGATAAAGCGGTTCTGGGTAATAATTCGTCTTTGTTTACCAATGGTACCTGGTAAGTTCTACCAATCTTCTTCTACGTTAATTCGTCTTGCCAAGCTCATTAAACGTGAACCTAAAAAAAATCAAGTTATCATTTAGGCCAGATCGAAGTAGGCTGGATAAAACAACTTGAAACCGTGAAGAAAGAAACTAAAGATGAAATTTACCATTCCTTCAATCATATCTCAAGCGATAAGCCCGTTTTACTGCAAGAGGTGCACTCCTCTAGTAGCAAAAGGTGCCTCGGAGTATGACCTTAGAGGATCTGCCACCTCATTACGACAAAAAGAGAGGACACATCTCTTTCTCAATAACTGTTTTTTTTGCAAGACCTTTACAAAACATAATTAGAAAACAGTTAAATTTTCGGACAACAAGATATTTCGGACTGTGAAAATTTCGGACGCTCAAACTGTCCTAAAATATCAGCGTCCGGAAATATTAGCTACCTTTCTGAGTCACTAAGTTCAAGCTTCGTTAGTAGTTCGTTCATTTCTTCATCCGATATACGATAGTTGTATGTCATCATTTTCTTCATAACTTTCTGAAAAATGAAAGTTTTTCCAAATTTAGTTTTTTAAACTGATATTAGGACTAAATCGTTTAGTAAAATGACAATCACCATTATGTTACGCTCTGATGCAGTTCCGATGAATGTTTCGAATTGAAAACAAATAAGTAGTAATTAGTAGTGAGTAATTCATAAAAACGTGCAACGGGGATTTATAACCAATGAGAAGTCCATGTAAGTATTTATAAATCTATATAAAAACTGACTATGACCTTTCTTTCTGAGCAGGGTATTTCGGTCTATTAACCTGAGACGAAAATAAGAAGACTCTGCGGCTACTGAACAGTCCGAATTTAATACTTGATAATCAACAAAAATTTTCGTGATAAGTAATAATGAAAAGAACCTACAGATGCAATTCTTTGGTCTTTTACTTCCGATGCCCCGTCCAAAATTGTTTTCAGCATTGTAAACCTATGGGAAAACCACAAAATGACTGAGAAACGTAGGGGGGGTTACAGGCATTCGTTTTTCTTCTTTTCTTGCATGAATTTAAGGCAGCTATATAAAAACAATGCGGTATTTGGCACTCAAGGCAATTCCCGAATCTTTGATTGTAAAATGGGCTCTCTGTTGTTCTCTACAGCTCTGTTTCTTATCTGAAGGCCAAACAAAAGATAAAGGATTGGGACAAGTAACAAAATACTTTTATATAATTCGACCAATTGGTAATTAAGGCGATGACAAAAATACATCAAGCAATGTTGTCGATACTGGTACAAATATAATAATATTTCATCATAATATACATTATATCATCATAATTTTTCATTATTGCGTTTGCTAATTTAGAACATCATTACTACACGTGCATAGAAAAATATAACCAGGAAAGATAACAAATATCACTTAATCATGCAGAAAAATCCTACATCAATGTGGACCAACTTACGTAGGTTTGATATCTTTCTCCTCAAACAACTTGATAGTGTCACTATTTCAAGGAAAAACAGGTTACAGTCGACAACAAACTTCATTCCTTAAGACAGTGCAAAACGAGAGAAATCCAAACAATTAAGGTCATGTTTAAACTCTAGGATACTTGACCAAACATCAATTGGGAAATTTAATAAGTATCATAACCTATTCTATAAACCAACATGAATGTTACGCTAAATTTCGCCGTCGTAATGTTGGATGTGGAGGCAACTTGATAACATTATGTTTTTTGCCTACACCTCAACAATAATTAAGTTGAGTTTTGTATTTGTTTTTAGCGTTGAAGAAAAAAATAGCTAAAGACTATAAAAACCGATTTAAAATTCGATTAGAGACTTACAATGCCTCATTCAGCATTCCGTTCAAGGAGTAGAGTCGGGCCACTTGGCTGAGAATCAATCCAGTGACACTGTAAGACGAATATGCACAATTGTATTCATCAATAATCGGTAAATTTCCACTTGGCTCATAAATCTAATAGAATTAATAATTACATTACACAATTCTTTGAAAACAGGATTTAAATACAGCTGAAAAATGAGTTTATCATGATGCAAAAAATTCGAATCCTGAGTACCAATAGTTTGGGGTAAAGGCCTTGAGATATTTACTAGTTGAAAAATTGATTTTTTCTGCCAAGTCAACAGAAAACAAAGAAAACTAACTTATTATTCATCTAAAGAAACCTCAACTGACAATTGCAGCAACAGAAAGAAGAGAGAAAGGAAAGCACAAAGGCTTCATTTAGCAAAACTCTACCGCCCCCCTCTGGGAAAGCCCTTCAAATTAAATCAAAATAAAAGGCTTAAAAATGAAGTTCTTACGGTATATCAAACATTGCCATCCACTTCATAGTTTCCAGGGCAGTGTCAAGGCCTTCCTTTAAAAGCTGAATCGGGAAATTAGAAATAATCACTAAATTTACTATACATTAATGGATAAATTTAGTAGTTTACTGCGCCCAAATGTCAAATTGTATCACCTATAGGTCACACAAAAATTTATCCTAACTGCCAGATAAGGATTGATTTAAGATAGAAGTAACTTTCTTATTAGAGTTAAGAGAGTATTAAAAAGACGCATTCTTAGAAATATAAACAGTGCATGCGCAATGTATTTTGGGAAATATTTTTTGATTTGGCCTTTTGATGAGCATTTAGGCCTGGGTTGTTTTCTTTTGTAAAGCCTATCTGGCCACCCTGTTTTATACCTGGATAGTCTAAAAAGAGATGTTGAAAAGAGAGGGTGTTCATTTCACATACCTAAGCTGTAAATAGAGCGTATATCAAAATGACGTCAATAATGCAGATTATTTAATTAGTGGATAAAAAGATAACAAAGCACAAGACTTCAAACCAAAGAAAGCAATTCATACCTCTTTAGGAAGGGGACTTGAAAGAGCAAGAAATATTCTTTCACATATTGGATACGTCAGTCTAACTCTGTTTACTTTCATGTCTATAAAAGAGTATCAAAGTGGCAATAAACATCGGAATGGAAATTTAAGCGAGGGGAAATTTATACGATGAAGTTGCCCTTATACTTTACAGAAAGAACATTTATAGCTACGATGTTGTCCTTACAATGCTAAACTACAGATCACATCCATACATTAACAATATCTCAAAGCCACAGGTAAAGTCTTAAGACAAGGCATTTTAGGTCTTTATGCTCATGACAGTTTTGCTAAAACTGATTGCTCCTGTGAAAATCGGGCTAGTACATATGAGATTAAGCACGCGGATCAGCGGGGAGGATAGTTCCAAAAAAGTTCAAAGAAAAGCGAACGTATAGTTCAATTTCTCAAGGCAAGCTCATATTAATGAACAAACGAGGACTAAAGTTCATTGGCAAATCACCAAGAGATATAATAAATATTTTTTAGCTCTGTTCAAAGGTGTAGCCACTGTTAAATATACCTCTGTTACTGATTTAGCAAAGCGTGCAAACAAGAAAGAAGTGCTTCAGTACCGTTACTAAGCTTGAAAATTCTCTCTGGACGCTCCCCTCTCTCCAGCCTTTGAAACAGCTCACCATATACCCAGTCTCTTGGGACCAATTCCTGTCAAAAAATCACAATTGAAAATCATGTGATAAGGTTGAAAACATGTACTAGACTTTCTGTTTGATTCTGAATCCAGCTAGGAACAATTACACGGGGCTATTTCGGGCTACTATCAAAGGCAGCAATAGGCTTTTTGCAGCAGATTTCCAGAAAGGTGTCAACACTTGCTTGTCAGCTTCGCCTAACAATACTTTTGTTGCTTCCAGCAGTAAGGACTTCCTTTTAAAAGCCAGTTAAACACCCTGGGACGATTTTCTGCCACCAGAGATGTTTTTGACCGCGCTCTGTTGCATGGCAATTTCAAGAATCTCCTTCCTAACTATAAAAGTCATCAAATTATACTTTCTCTCAGCAGGTAGCTTAGAAATATCCATAACAAAAAATCCACCATGTAGTGGTACTACATAGAGCAGTAGACATTGGTGGGGTTAAATCACCTTTAAAAAATTGGCAAAAGATGCGGTTATTAAGACGAATCCACTTTCCCACCTCTACTTCCGTAATCCAGCTTTGTACAAATTCACTCCCGTGTGAACAGAGCCGGCTGGAATCGAGCCTGAGATCGGGCCGGGTGGAATCGAGCCTGAGATCGGGCCGGGTGGAATCGAGCCTGAGATCGGGCCAGGTGGAATCGAGCCTGAGATCGGGCCAGGTGGAATCGAGCCTGAGATCGGGCCGGGTGGAATCGAGCCTAAGATCGGGCCGGGTGGAATCGAGCCTGAACCTTACCAATCGAAGGCCAATCTTTGTCTGATAACAGTGGGTATACATTGATTATATTCTGTCTGGGATTCCAGTAGCAAACAATACGTATCCGCGAAGGTAGTTCACTACAAGCTGATATACCAAGTTATGCAGATATTACAAACAGTCTAGGGTTAATCTAAAGAGACAAGCTTAACGCTACATACATTTGGAACAAGGCGATCGTATTCTTCAAATACGATGTCGATGTTACTCTCTGACCGACAAAGCGTAGCTATATAGTTTCCTCTAGAATAAACAGAAAAATGATATGAATTTTCAAGAATGTTATAGTCACACTTTTAGTTGCAACTGAACTCATGAAATGTTATACTTGATTGCATAATGAAACTATATCAAAATACGCTTTTGGTGTATAGAAAAGGACGGTTCTAAATTGCCAATTTAAGTTTCACCCTGAATACGCTCATCAGGCAATATAAAGCTCTGCCTACACGGTACGAGCACTTTATGACAGACAGTAAACAGCAATTGTCACCATTTTGTAAATACGTGCATTTTAATTTAGCCCGATACAATGTAATAAGGTCTTAAGGTCGAGTGAAATTGTCACTTTTTGTCATCATTATTCACCAGAAACTCATACTATTGACTATAACATATTCTTCAATCTCCAGCAAAGCTGAAGCTCCAGTCGCAATAATTAAACATAAATAATTTTCTCCTTATGAAAATATCAATAGACAATGAAAATCTGATGAAAAATATCTCACCATTTAAAGGAGCCTTTAGATTTGATCGCAAACTAATTTACGCGGTTGTTGTAATCAAATCTACGTCGTTGCATTGAGCAACAAATAGGAAACCTGTGAGCTGAGTTGACTCAAATGTCACACAGGATTTTCGAACCATTAAGAATTATTATGAACATGTAGGAGTCAGAAATTATTGCAAAAACGTACAGAAATGCACTGTTTGATCTTCCCAACAAAGCCCAGTTGCCATCTCTATATACAATTTCCATTAGCATTTTTGCTAGTTCTGCTTGTCCAAATACTTTGGCCTACAAAGACAGCAATCGAAAAACAAAATCACCCAAAAAATAACAAATATATTCGCATTAGCAAGTATCGCTCCAAAATGCTGAATCTTTGCAGAAGTGAAGCCGCATTAGTAAAATTCTGGTCCCGATTATCTCCTATCTTCTTCATCACAATCTCTTCTATTAACTCGAACATATGGGTCGAGTTTCAGTCATCAAGAATGGAAATTCAATTTCTATTCCAAACATAAGGTGACAAATTTCAATGCATAATTCCAACATAATTCTAATATTATGATAAAATACGAATAAACGTGTTTCTGACCCTGATTGAAAATATTTAGCTGTTTGTGAAGACTTGGAATGTGTACAGGAGATTAGAGGTATTCATTCTTATCGCCATTACTCTATCTTGACTGTTCAAGCATAGGCAGGTCCGATTAGGCAACTATCGCAATTCGATTGGTTCAAATCAATGGGGATTCCACTTTGGCGATTCCTTTCACAGCCAGGCAAGATTTGACGCCTATGCTGACTGTTTAAGGTAATTCATTCAATTACTATGCAAAGTAATAGAGCGAACAAGAAAAATAAATGTCAAGGGACACTCAAACTAGCTCTCAAAAAGCCCACACATTTTACAGGCAATATCTCTTGGGAAATAAAAAAACATTATATCAACAACAGCAAGCTCTTTCCAGAATAGCGGTAAATATTGACAGGGAGAATGCTACAAAGGGTACCTACCAGAGTCATGGCGATGCTGAAGAAGGAGACTGGAAAAAACAGCAGAAAATTTGTCAAAGGAAGGAAATGAAATAAAACAGGCTTTCAAGGAATTGAGAGAAAGGGCTTAAAACTGTACCAAATATAATCTTTTTAACTTTTAAATATTGGGGCTGGGTAATTTTGCAAAAGTAGAATAACAAAAAATGAGACACACGACCACACCCTATTGAGCTGCCATACATCACATGTGTGTAATTTGCAGAAAACTGCTCCAATGAGTGATTTACCAAAATAAAGAGAAATCAGTTCAAAACTGGTAAAATTGTTCTGAATACGTAACACTTTTTCCTGATCTTAAGAAGAAGCTGGTTTTGTTTAACAGGCATCCTTCTATTGATGGGGTGTTTAGCAGGCGTCCCTTAACTGCTACTTTCCTTGGTGCCCCCTGCCCACGTTACTAATAGAATGAGGCGGATGTTAGAGCCCACAGGGCGATGAACGTTTTACTGACAAACGACAAATAAATCTGAAATGTTAAGTAATTGCAGAAATAGCAGAAACTTTAAACGTAAATCAGTACTGCGCGAAAATAGAAGTTGATTTTACGTGCGATGATGATAACAATGTCACAACAATAAAAACTGAGGGGGAATGGAATGGAAAAAAGCATGGGCTCCGACACGGTTTGGAACGTGGGGGGTAAGGGAAACTTTTATGTCCATACAGAAGATTGTGAGAAAAGTGGGGGGAGGGCATGGTTCCCCTCTTCGTTGGAGGCCCTAAAAAGGATGAAATTCTGAATATTTCAAAAGACAAGAAACGTAGCTTAATAATCTAGTAGTATGGCACATAAAAAGTTGAAACTTGCTCTACAAATGCTAATAAACCTAAACATACAAGTGGTACATACCATCTCTAGAATCTTCGACCTCAATCCTTCCCTTTCGATCGTAAATACGATGGACAACATCCTTAAACACTGCAAATTTATCTGACTCTGGGAAACAGAACATAACATAAATTATTGAACTATGATCACATAAAAGAAATATTGAAGCAAATATCATTTATAAAAAATACTGTTAAATCTTTAATATCAAATTTTTTTAACTATTTTTGGTAGATAAATCTCAACTAAGCAGGAAAAATAGTATTTAGAATATTTATTTCATTGTATGAATAATGCAGCATGTTCATAATTGTAAAAATTATAATGTAAAAATAAGGATAGCAAAAAGCCAATGATAATCCTATGAGAAACAGTAAAAGACATTATGCAACAGCCTAGGCAATAGTCATAAGTCATAAGTCAAAGTCTTATTATACTTACTTCTCGCATCATTCGCTTCTAGAGCATAAAGGTAACTGCCAGGGGATGGCTCTGAAAAATTAATGATTATTCTGTTAAGACAAAGCTAGCTACAATCGTTTTATAGAATAAAACAGCAGCCTTACAGGCTAATACAGCAGGGCCGTCGCTAGCTGTTGTTGTCAAGGGGTGCTACGATTCCAACTGCCGACAAAGTTCGAGAACCATCCTTTATTTGCCGACAAATCTCAAAATTTGCCGACGAAGCACCCCTAGATGGAAAACTCCTCGTTTTTACAATGAAAATATTTTTCAAGAGAGGTCTCACACCCTCACACACCCACACACCAAGGTAAAATTTGGACTGAGGTGAAACACTTTCACGAAGGGCATTAGCGTATAGACATATGAAAATCCGCCTGGAATTCAACAAAACCAAATTAGAGAGCTAAAATTTACGTTTATCACAAAACAGCAAGCATTGAGTCACATACGTAGAGCAAATTGAGAAAACAAAAAATAAATAAAACCTTACCAAGTCCATTGGCAATCATTTCCCTAATGAGCATGCTAATCTTTAAAGGAGCTTCACCCTCTAACTTGGATGCCAAATTCAAAAGAGAGTTATAGATACCTGGAAGTGAATTAATAGCTCATTTCATTACTGATGCAGGAAAAGGGGATAAACTTCAAAGCTATTGAAAAATGCTCAGGCTAAATGTGTTCCTACAGATTGCCTCACCGGTTACCCAAGACCTGTCTATGCGCACAAAAATTAGTACGGCCATCCCTACTTTTTCTCGTCTACCGACGTAAAATCAAGTCAAGTCTGATTAAAATTGTTACGGCACCATGCCAATTCGCATCGTTGGTGTTTGTCATTCAGTTCGGAGCTTTGACGAAAAGTGAGCTAATGTTTCATCTGGTACCGCGCACACAGGTTCCCACAGGGTGTGATTCCAGTAATCTGATTTGGGGTTAAAACAATAATTTTAGAGAGATTACCATAATAGTTAAACAAAAATATTACCAGTGAATGCAGAAAAGGATTCGAGAAAATGCCATGCTTTGCTAGCTGATATTATCCAAACATTTTGGTACCCAAAAATGAATTGCTCGTATCTTATTCATACTCTTAGCAGTGTTAGACGAGAAGCTGGTCTCAATGTTTGCTTTTTTTAGAAGAACTTATCATTTATCTTTATTGACTAACTCTGTGTGTACCTGAAAAATGAAGATCTAAAATATGGCATAGATTTAAAATTAAGACTTTCACCACCTCAATCTGAAAAGCTATAGTTTTGCACAATTTTAATTTACATCTTATACAATTCAAACGAAAATAGCACAAGATCTGTTGTACTGGGAAACTGAAACGAAAATAGTACTGGGAAAGCTCCCTAACTAGAAGGCACCTAACAGTCATGTCAAGCTACCTTCGTATAAGCTAACTTTGGGTACATCTTATTAGCATATATGCACACCAAATTCTAATATTTCTTTAAACACGGAAACAACAAGAGCACAACATTCAACTACGTTATCAATCTAGCCTACAAATGACTCACCAACATCAGGGACAGCAAATTTATCTTCAGTCATCTTGTTCAGAAACTCCTTTGAATTTGAAAATAGTTACATGAAAATCGTGCGTCAACAAACAGATTCAATTTTCAGCGGAACCTCTTGCATTTGGAATCTCTCTCAACTGGGTAAGTATAGGCCTTCAAAGAGCGGGTTCATTTGGAACTGCTGGTCGTATGTAAAGGACTTAATTATCAAACCAACCATATGATGATGGAAATGATGAATGGCTTCTGCAATAGTAGCTTATAAAACGCACTAAAGAGTAACTAATTGCGATTTTTTACTTTATGGGTGCTTTGCAGAAACCTGCAAAGAACAGGCATCCCCTGATGTGTTAACACAATCTACGATTTGGTTCAGAACCGGCTTAGTGATCTGGTTCAGAACAGATTCCCAATCACGCTTTCATCATCATGACTATGCTTGTTACATCCATTTTTATATTAACCGATCTCTTTTTTAATAATCAAAACTCTCATTACTTTTTTATTTTGATCTTTTTATTTCCTTATGTCACACAGCTTCACTCCGCTTTGCACAAAACTGAGAATATTTCAACATAGAATGTGCGTTGAAACGCCATTTAACATTGCAAAACAATGGAAATTTTAAGTCAGTTCAGTAAACGTTTTCCAACCGTCTTGAATTCCATTTCGTCAACTTTGAAAGAAAAGTCCATTTCAATCTTTTCCAATGCCCTAAACATAATTTGTTCCGGCTCTTCAATCAAACTTTTTAGTTGAAGAGTATTGTGTGCTTCTGAGTGAGCAGAAAAGGTTTGAATTCTTTCAGTTTTTCTGAAAGCTACTCACGCTTCCAAAATTAAAATAAAAAAACTATAAATATAACGAAAGAAACGATCGATGAAACGACAAAACAAAACAGCATTGTTTAGAACTAACTTGCATCTTCCAAATTTTCAAAATACTAGTCATCTTACCAAAGCAATAAAAATGTATTTCAAAATCAAACATAAAACTACATAAAGAATGAGACTAGAAAAAAACTGTTTAGAAGTGACTTGCCTCTGCGAGACCCCATTTGTCTTTAGCAGTTGCAAAGGCTGTTTGCTTGTTAATATTGTCAAGGAATGCTTTGTACAAATATGTAGAACCTGGAATAAGGAAAATTAAGAATGTGATGCATGACGTCAGGACTGACCTTTGGGCTGTGCAGGGAGTGCTGTTACATACAACTGCGAGAGCCTACGTTGATATATTTGGACAAAATTAGCTAGCAGCTTTATTCTCTGGTATTCGTTGCTTAAAACGATAATTAGTAAGTCAAAAATATATACACGATGTGTGTGTAGTATGAATTGTCACACTGTTATGTTCAGCGATATTTTGTGTTGCTTGTTCTTTTTTCCTTGTTCATGGTGCATTTAAATAGTACTATTTGGGTTATAGAATTGAAAAGACCTTTTAATAACAATCGAGTTTAAGCTACCAAGAGGACAGGACATCTTGATTATTTCCTACCATGTTATCTTTCAGGACTTAAAATGTTTGTTTCAATTGTTAAGTGTAAGAGTCGGAGCAGGTTGCGAAAAGGTCTTGTGTTTTAACAAATTCAGCAACTGGTTTTCAAAGAGTGCGACTCGCTATTTGCCACTCATCTGTTCTTGTGACAGGAATAGACTTTGGTTCGAAAAGCCAATGTAAGACCATATGCATTATATCATCAATGTGAAGGGCAATGTATCACCAACTCACTTTCTAATGACTGTTATCCAGCTGTCATAACCAAGATTATACTTCACTCCACTTGCTTAGTTTTGCTAGAATCTTTAGCAATTCTTACCTTTGAAACCTTTTTCTCTCATCTCATCGTGAAAACGCTGCGCCAAGGAGAATTCATCATACTGAAACAATCAGGAAAGCAAAATGAATTCATGACACGTCCTCTAAGAACCGACTTTTATGATATCAATTTATAAGGAATACTAAAGAATGAATTACTTTGCTGCAGTCAGTGGATTTTACATTGATAAAAACCAATTATTTCTCGCATCTATCTAACACTCTTCAATAAAATAAGAAACTTGATTTCAGAAAATGCCATTGAACACATAACATTAAAGAGCGGTTGTTTTTGGGTAATGGGCAAAAATTATGACGCAGGTACAAATCCAGTACAATTCACAAGCAGATTCATCAAGCATACTATGCCAGCATACAAATTATTTATAGCGCCTACAGATGGTTTTCTTTAAGTTAAAAACCCCAGGCGAACATAAAACTATATCATTTTGCGAATGATAAAATGATTTACCTTCAAAAGTGCCAATATATAAGCTTCGTATGTCTCTGCTGTCTTGTTTTCGATTTTTGAAAACAATCTACTACAATAACTATCGTTGCTGCAAAGAAATCACAGTTAAACGAAAGCTGTCGTAAGAGAAACAAATGAAAATATTCTATTACACAACTGACCTCTGTTTCCAAAGTTAAGTTTGTTCGTTCTTTACTTTCAACACTCAATTTAAAACGTTTTGTCGAGTACAGTTCTAAATTGACCATAAGCTTTAAAGAACAATGCTTGTCAACAGAGCAAGCTTACTTAAAGGATCTTGCAATATCTTGCAAAAGTATTGACTAATACTGTCAATATGGAAAAATCTAGATAAATTTAAACCTTTAATATTTTCAGACAACTGAATATTTGGGCACATTAGAGAAATCAATTGCTTTATTGCATAATATGTAGCTTTTTACCAATAACGTTGTGAAGATACAAAATAATATTTCTAGAATTTTTTGAAATTGGATAACAGAACCTAAAAGAGCATCATGAAATGTGTTTTAAATTCACTGAGTTCTAGCTGCATAGGGACAAGCTCTCTTATCAAATCACTGTAACAGTTATCCGTTAGCAAACTTCAAATCTTCAATTTTCCATACCACTGCCCATTATCAAGGTATTTAAATGATTATCGATATTTTATGGTGCACTTGCAGCTCGTGGGGTCTAATGTCAAAAACTCTGAAAAAGTATCTTTATGAGGTTCACACTTGAGAGCTCTATGACATTGTCATTTAACCATGTAAAATAATACAATGAAACAATAAAACGTAAAATTTTGAAAGACTTAAACAAACAGGCACTACCTTAACAAGAGGCTTTTGACTTTAAATCCATAAGTGTTGTCGGTCTACAAACAAGAATAACATGGTACATTGGAATTACAGGCACATGACACTGTGAGGCCTCACGATGAGAACAATAACAGCATATAACTTACACATTGCAGCATTTTCTCTTACTTCTAAAAAGTTCAGCTAGTTAAAAAATGAAGAGAAAATCCTTCCCCGGTTCAATTCAGCTTGTCATGCAACCCCTTGATTTGTCATTGATCCCCTCTTCCTAACTGTGGGTCAGTGTTGATCACCTTCGAGACCCTTAATTAGAGATTTCAATACTGTAATTATATAAGTGATAGAGACTAGCTGTTTATGACCTCATTTTTCTACAGAGATTTGTTTCTATATAGAGCTTCATCTTGATGGATGTAATTGTATTACAATTTAGATGTGTTCATTGATTACGTTGGAAGGATGTGGTATGGGAAGTAGTGATCACAGCAGATGTAAAAAATCTTAACTCTAGTTGTTTTTATTCGTGGTCTAGAAGATTGTGCATTATTTCTCTGACGCTTACGTTTTTCTAAGTAAACAATAAAAACATAAGGTGGCTTGGCAGAGGTAAATTAATCTATTTTTCTTAACGACCTTCCTCCCACTTGAAAACCGTGGAACCAAAATTTCTTCTGAGCTATGCCATTTCTCTTTTGTGCAGGGTGCATGCAAATTTTTTCGTGCAGACAATGATTCCCATGAATGTCAGCTTAATATCCGTGGTCAAACCACTGCAGATAATATGACAACACTGCAGATCAATAATGAGTTAAAACTTAAGCAAAAAAAAACCTTTGCGCGAGATTCGCTCTCAGCCGGTTCCTCCTCGTCACTGCTACTACCATCACTATCCGAACTTGAGCTTGAAGTTCCTTCAGCAGCCTTGAATGATAGGAAAGCCTTAATGGTGAGACGACCGTACTTTATTGATTTAGTACCCGGAGCGCTGATTTAAAAGATAAAGGGGCCAAAACTTTGAATGGGGGATGGTTCATTTGAAGGGGGACGCACAATCGACGAAATAAGGTATCAACAATCATATATCAAAACAGATGGGGGTCCTGACGTACCAGCAATTCATTGACGGTACTTGAATAGAAAAAGGATCACAGCTTTCATTGTTTGTAAATGGATATTTACGAGTTTTTGAATATTAGATACCGAGTTGAGTTATTCCTAGCATTTTACTGAAACTGTCCACGCGCAAAGGTGACGTATTTTACTAAAAGACGAATCCCCAACTGACAACTGTGTTTTGACAAGAATAAAAGTATGATTTTTAAATTTTGCGTACTGTGACCAAAATCTAATTTATCGACTTTTCAAACGTTGTTTTTCCAAGCGATAAAAGCAACTGATGCTTTTTAATGGGCTTACAGTCAGAATCAAAGAATGATCCTCCCAGGCTTAAGGGTATTTTGATACAACTATAAAATAATTCAAGATTGGAGTACGTCTTACATGCATTTTTTAATCCACTACCCAGTGGCGGACACCTGGGGGGCGAGAGGGCGAGGGGGCGAGGGGGGCGGTTACCCCCTAATATTTTGGAGAAAAATGGTCTTTTGTTCTAAAACAATGGGAAAATACGACGTCAACTTATCAAAACAATAGGCTTGCCCCCAATATTTGACCAATTGTCCGCCCCTGCCACTACCTAACTAGCAAGCATTAATACATATCTCATAAAAACACAAACTTCTAGAGTAATGAACTCTAACCTTGGATGTTTTTGAAAACTTGTCTTCAATACCAACTCCATAATAGCCAACCAAGTCAAGAAGCCGATTTAATGTATTGATAGTTAAGACATCGCCTAGATGGAAATTCAGTCATTTTTACTTGAAGATCAAATGCTGAATGTTGCCCAAAAGAAGAATGTCCAAAATCAATCAAAAGAAATACGTTGACACTTGAGGAATTCACCTTCTTGAAATAAAAGATCATATTTAAAAAGCTTAAACTTGATTATAAGCATACTCAAAAACAAAGGGAAAATTGCTTAGAAAAATAAAAAAGGCCTTTTTCATTTGGTCTCAACTTTCTGTGGCTTAGATGTAATCTTACGGCAAAAACCCATGATGTAAAATTGCTATTAAAAATGAAGTTTTTAAAAGACTAAAAGAAATTCGAATTGGCAAAAGACTGGAAAAACTTACCTTTCTGTTCAAGTAATTCATAAAGTTTGATGGCTTCCTCAACTCTCTCAGATTTGATTAAATCTAGAAAAGAATTAGGAACCATTACAAAGCTTTTTTCAGACCAACGCTTAGTGTAACTTTCCTCTAATAGCTTGATTACGCTGTGGATTTACATTGATTCAAGACAACAGTTTTGAGTACATTTGAGTTAAAAATGGTGAACTAACACTTAAGAGTCTCCTCATCCTCCTTTTCTTCGAAGACTGCAAACTCATCAGGCCAGGCCTAAAAAACAAACGAGGAAATTGAAGAAACACATTAAGGATATCACCCGCAGTAATAAAATAAATGAAAGAATGTATGTAATAAAATGCATGGATGATAACATATATGTTGTGCACAGTAATAGGTTTAGGCTTCAAACAGTTATACGAATTGAATCTGTACTCACAGGCACTGGCTGTCGAAGATTGCAAAGATCTGGGTATTTCTTTATAACAAATTCTGCAGCGTTCCGGCCAGACTCAATAGCAGCAATATATTCTCGCTATATAAAAACCCAATAAGAATTAGCTTAAATCATAAAGACTTAATCCAATTCATATTTTTATTTTAAACAATTGCCAAGATAAAATTTGCATTTTGAAAAAATGGAATTAAGGACAAATCTTTAATTCAATCATTGTGTTCTGACAGGGCGAACACTATACCTCTTCTAAAAACTACCCTCTTGGATTGAATTGAGTCGAACTGCATTGCATTGAAGGCTTCTAGCAAAGAGACATGGCTAACAGGATAAGCACCTTATAAATAACAGAGCTGGAAGAAACTAGACTTCCAGCACCTTAAAAAACTTAGACAACATTATAGGCTCTGTCTACTATTAGATTTATCTACAGCTCCAGTATTAAAAAACTCACTTGAACTGCTGTATTCAAGGAATTTAGTTGTGGTTTTGAGACAGTAATTCAAAGTCATGGCAAATACACTTAATTGCTGACCTGTTACCCTACCTTACCTGTTTTACAATGCTACTTAAAAGCATCATTTCCAATACCCTAGAAGACATATCAAACTGGCTACGGCCCCTATAGAAATGATAACAAAAATATAACATGTCTCATTACCTTTGTAAAATCTGATCTTGGAGTAAAATATGCATCTTCTAGAAAGCCAATATTTGATGAGCCAGGTACCTAATGCCAAAGAAAAAACAGAGAAATGATTTTAAAATGGTAGCACGATAAGGTTTTAGAATTAGTAAGTTCTGTCCCATCATGAAAAAGTCAGATGGCCAATTATGTTCAAAGAATTTAAAACAAAGAAAGACTAATTTTAGGTCCAAACATAAAGTTACACCAAAATTTTAAATCAACCATAGAGCAAAAACAATTACTATTCATCCCATTTATCAATCTTTACCCTTTCAACTTAATATATGTTCCGCTTAAATGATTTAAACTTTAAACATTATTCAAGCTGAAATATTTATTCAAATCAGTAGACAAAATGTCAAAGATCAACAGTATCCTTAAACATAAAGCACAGTTAAACATAAAGCTTACCTTCTGTACAGTTGATGACAAAGCTTTAAGGACAGTAAACTCATCCCTAAAATAACACCAGCTGTTATAATTACATCTGAAAAAGATTGTTTTTCTGCATCTGTAATCATTAGGAACTCTTGCAGGTCTGGCCAAAAAACTTGCAGCAGGAGGACAGTAAACAGCTCTCCTAGTAATTTCCAGGAGAGCGTTTGCAGATAAATAAGAATAGAAACAGAGGAAAAACTGATCCATTTTCTTGCATTTCCATTTTAGAAACAGAGGAAAAACTGATCCAAAGAGAGCCATTTTCTTTATACAGCAGTTTAGGAGAGCAATCTGTAGCTCTCCTCCAGCATTTGAGGAGAGTCTGGAAGGAAAGCATGAGCTATGGCTTTTTTCAAATGGCCAGGCCTGAACCTTTAGCTAGAGTTGCCACTTACATTTCAATGCCTTTAAAAGAATGAATGCTTAAAGAACCTGGACCTTTTTGTACATTAGGGAGCATCCAAAAAGCACTTATGTATTGTCAGTGAAGAGTACAGGGTATTGTAGTTCTAAAGAAAAAGGTATGTGCATTCTCAAAATATGTTTGGATAGCACACAGCTATTTGCATAACCAAAATCAATGATCAAAAGCTAGCGTACACAAATCCATGAAGTTTTGTAGTACATAAAGTTAATATAGCATTGTAAAAAAATAAATAAAGTGTCACTCTGTCTATGAAAAAAATTAACAAAGTTGATTGAAAATCTACAAACTTGAAACAAAAGAGCAGATCAAAAATCATAATCTGAATATAAACTGAGATTCATAATACTTCAAATGACCAACAGAAACCATATCTTTTAAACATGTTCTTCTCATCATTTGGTAAAATTAACTAAAAAATTCTCTAGATTGGCAACTCACATAGGAGCCAACATGACATCTGATTTCAAAACCCGTAAACATAGTAGAAAAACTTTAATCCATTATCCTTACTTCTATCAGTTGCAGATTATTGAAGAGGCTTTTGGACAATGCTATTGCAGAGCACTTAGAGAAAAATAATTTACTCAACAGCAGAGGGGTTTTCAAGAAAAATCTTGTGTCTCACAGTTTTTGATCATATTTTTGCATGTGAGAAGAAGTAATCAAGTTAAATAAAATATATTGCATTGACAAATATACTTTAGATTAGTGAACACTTTCAATTCAGTAATTACCATTAATGGAAGGAACATAGCATCATAGATGCATAGGGTATATGGTGTACCAATAGGCAAAATGCTGGTCCTGCTTTTATTTCTGAATTTATTGAAAAATGCAAAGTTGAAATTTTGGCTAGTGATCTCCAGCTCTACTCTACTTGTATAACGAATCATAATTAAATCTGGTAGAACATCTTAATATGTTTAAAAGTTGTTTTCAGCTTGACAACTTCAATTCAACAGTGAAAATGTCATTTCTACAACTAAAAGGAAAACTTTAAAAAGAAACACTTAATTTCTAAAATCTTAATTACAAACAAGTCTAGGGATGTACCGGATATCCGGTAGGCTGGATAATCCGGCGCCGGATCGCTGATTTTTTGAAAATCCGGTTCCGGCCGGATTTGTTTCCGAAATCCGGCCAGTTGCCGGATTTTCCAGAATTTTAATCATAACTAAGAAAATTTAGAAAACCAAGTCAGACTCTCTTCATACAGTGATTAAAAATGGATTTTCCAGAACTAAACAAGATCGACGATAAAACAAGCGCCTTGAAAACAGATTTGAAATGAAAGTGCTCGTCATCACGAAACAGGAAGACTGGATGATATAATTCACAAATTTGGTCCAGGATTGCCAGATTGGCTTTTTCGGCCAAATTTTTCATTTTTGGTTTTTAGATTTAGATTGCCTGGAAAAATTGTTTTTTGCTTACTTCTTAAATTTGACCTTGTTGGCCTTTTCAGCAGAACGTCTAAAATTAATAAGTAATTACTACATTCATAGAATAATTAGTAGTTAACTACAAAGTGTTAACCAAATTTCAAATTTCATCACCTAACCTAAATATTATCTTAATATTAGCATAGGGGGTTTGGAAAAAAGTAAGATTCTTATCTAAGTTAAGAAATTCTCTAACAGTCACAAGCGTAGAAATATAACCAGTGCCTGCTCGATGGATTCTTGAGAGAGTTTTTGATTTGGCCTTTTTGTGAGCATTTTGGCTTAAATTGCTCACCAGTCTAGCCTTCGTTTGCAAATTCAATCTGGCAACCCTGAGTTGGTCTCTTTGATCTTCTCGCTACATTTTTTCGCAAAGTGGTTCAAAACTTTTTATTACTGAAAAATCCATAAATGGCCAGATTATTCGGTAAAATCCGGCCGGATATTCTACGAAAAAATCCGGTAAATCCGGTTCCGGCCGGATTCTGAAAATCCTGATCCGGTACACCCCTAAACAAGTCACATGTACAAATTTGGAATGGGTCGATTGTCAAAACTATGAAAATCTGCAAACCTTTTCTTTCTTTTACCATGAGCAATGTCATTTGATCCTGAAAATAAATTTACATACTTTATAACTAAATCAAATGTAGCTTGTTAGATTTTCTCTTCAAATCATTGCTAAAAAATTCACAAGACTGAAAATTTTGTCACTTCTGCAACCATAGGATATCATAGGATGCCAGGATATTATACTGTATATCTGGTCTGGTGGATTGTTGCTTTCAAGAGCACTTGATACAATGGAATAATGACAAATTTTCAGAAGCATTGCACTTTATTAATGACTAGCGTAGTAATATTTTGTGCTTCCTTTTAGGTTTCAGAATTCCTTTTCAAGGGTGCAATTATTTTTCCATCAAAAAGGTTCCTATCATGTAGCTAGAGAGATTGATGATTTCTACAAAAACTCATACACAGGGTAAAGTGCACTTTATAATGATGTTAAGCAAATTTCAATTATGGAAAAAATAATTCCAAAGAATACGAATTGATAAATGTTACCCACTTTTTTCTGCAAGCCCTTCTGATGTTGAAGAGAGAAACCTGTAATTGAAAAATAAAAATTAAATTCATGTAATTCCTAATACTAAATTTCAAATACAAGTCTCATTTGATTGCCGTATAACAATAACACTCTGCTTTAATAGGTCCTCAACTTCAAGTATAAATGAGCAGAGGTTGGTGAGGATGGAATTAAAAAGGTTTAACATTCTTGAATCTTAAGCTTTTATCCTGCAGAAGGAGGAGAGAGTTAAGTTACAGTTGATATGTTGAGCTTCAGGTACTGATGTCAAAATTAAAGCTTGAGCTGTTGGGGCAAATAAAAGTTGATGAAGGGTAATTCTTGGTGGGAACTTATCCAGAGGCCAGGGGAAAGCTACGAGAAGCTCACACCAGATATACACCAATCAACAATAGAAAGACAATGAAAAACTGTTAGTCTAGGCTGGGTAAGCTTCATTGGATTCTACACTGGTCCATCAGGTTGGAAAATTCGTATGATTTTGTTGATGTGTTGTTGCACCAACAGCACATTATCAGCTGCGACCTCGGAGCAGAAGCAATTGAGCTGCAAGCATTGGTGCCCATGCTATGTACATAACTGTAATATAATATATGAATTCATTGATATTTGGGTCAACAGGGGTCTGAGGTGTGAGCACAAGAGATCCAGCACCGCTGCGTGCAAGTTTTGAATCCTGGCTGGTCCAGAAGAATTCACCTAAAGACATATTTAGTATTTTGGATACTTTTTTGAAAATATTAAGGTTAATAATTTCTGGTAATAATTTGAGGGGATAATAAAAAACAAATGTTATCAGTGTCGAGTCTTGTCAAAGTCATTAGAGTCATCACCGTGGTGCCTGCATCGAACTGGGCCACAATATCTGCTAGTGTAAACAAATTTACCATCCATGCTTTCGCAAATTAGGCGCACAAAAAAATCCCTTTGATTTGACAATAAACGTCAAACTTGCATGCAAGTGCTTATAAGCTATTTCGTCTGCTATTTTCTCAATTTCCGAGTAAATCTCCCTAGAGCAGTCGTTGAACTTTTACTGAACATATTTACCTTCTTAAAACAAAATATCTACTGGCTGCAGGTCTCAAAAAGCATGAACATCCACACTTGCATACTCTGACGGCAGCCATGTTGAATCTGTAAATGCAATCGAGGCTGCTAAAACGGAATGAAATTATGAAATGAAACTTGCCTTTCATGTAGGAAGGCATTCTTAGACGAGTTGCAAATTAGTGTGTATTCAACCAAATAAAATCATGAATCAAGGGAAAGGCCAAGATTTTACGACTCTAGAACAACGGGAAAAGATTATACAAGAGATGGATACTTTGATGAGTCAGTATGGTAAGGCTAAAAACAATCAATCAAGTGTAGAGATAGAAGCGCATATTCATCAGAAAGCACGGAGCAAAGAAGAGTACATGAAGTTGATTTCAAGGTTCTTGATTCATTTGAAAGAGGTAACAGGAGCTCCAAACACACTTGGAAATATTGTACAATCCCAACCAGGCACAATACCACAAGTTGTAGCTCCTGGATTAACTCAACAAGTAACAGGACGTGATGATCATAGCCAATTAAGACTTGGTCAACAAATCCAAATCCAGGGACAACCACGTGCACAGATGCTTCAAGTCTCAAATCCAGCACAAATTCAGCAACAGCAGTTGATACAACAGACAACACCTCAGATTGTTTCACTGTCAAATGCTGCTCAGCTAAGTGGCATACAAAACCTTATCAGCACCTCACATCTTGGCACCCAACAAGCAGCAGGTAATGTATCATTTGTCACAGGGGCTCAGGGAATCCAAGTAAGTCAGCAAGGCTTATCTTCACAGTTAGGTGGAAATATCAGCATAAATCAAGCCTCATATCAAAATCAATTGAAGCAACTGCAAACAAGGAAAGCACAACAAATGTCCCCAGCACAGCAGCAAAACCGACAACAGCCCCCAAAGGCTCAACATCTTGTCAGGTCCAATCAAAGTCCAGCAGTAAACCAGCAGCCACCATCTAATTCATCACAAGGGCAGTATTCAATTCCTTCACAAAAGAGCCATCCATCTCCTTCTCCATCTCAAGTACACCAAGTTTATCAATCAAGACCAGACCCTTCTCCAGTTTCAAGTATTGGTGCAGTTGCCCAGTCTCCATTATCAACTCAGCCATCACCATCACCATCAGCAGCAGCCACACCAGGAAATCCACCTTCATGGGGTGGGCCAGCTCAGAGTCCTCTTGATGCCTCTGAGGAATCTGCATATGCAGAAAAACTTAAGGAAATTGCTAAATATATAGAGCCATTGAGAAGCTTGATAAACAACATGCCAAAAGATGGTGAGCATGCCCCAAAGATAAAAAAGCTTAAGCAAATAGAGCTGATTTTTACAAACAAGAAGCGTGTGTCTTTAGCTTTTCTCACAAAGTGTGAACAAATTGTCAATGCATTGTTGTCAAGTGATACAGCTGGAAATCAAAAGCCAACTATGCTTCAAACAGTTACTGACCATTTGGTTCCACTAGCAGGTAATCCATCATTGATTTCAGCAGCACATCAATGCATTCAACCTGTATTAAACACTTTGAATATGCCTACTGTTCGGCCACCTAAAGCTCCAAGAAAGCGAAGACGTTCCAGCTCTGATGATGAGGACTGTTCTCTTCTTCCAGATGCACTACAGATGGAAATTGCACACCTCTGGGGTAGATTCTCTTTTGACTTGGATATGACTTCAAAATTAGACAAATCTTTCTTCACCATATCTTGCAAACCTAAAGCACCAAAAATGTCAGGTTTGCCACCACTTTTGATTAAGGTACCAGCATGTTATCCAAAACGAACCCCAGACTATACCTTATCATACCCAGACAACGATGAAAACATGCTGCTGAACTGTGTCAAGAAAAACTTTCTCTCAAGATTGTTAGAATCAAGCAAAGGACAGTTCCATTCTGTGACATATATTCTTGAATCTTGGGAGCAGAGCCTCAAAGAAACATTGTACAATTAAGTAATGTTGCAATTAGTTTTATCAAAAAAAATTTAATAGTGTTATGTTCTTTAAACAATTTTACACCTGAGGGCCAAACTGTTGACAAAGCCTCAGAAAACATGCTTGCTACTTTTTCCTCTGTATGGTCAATGGTAAGATCCTTCTGAAATAGATGGCTTTCAAAATCATCCTCTGCTAATCATTGATGCAAGTAACAGGGAAGGGGAATGGCCTCTCCATCACTGTAGAGCTAGTGAAATATTTTGTTGTAAGCAATTTAGGTTTTTTCTCCCTTGTTGTTAAGAAAAGGGGCTTGACCCATCAATTAGAAGCCCTATAAACAAGATCATTATTTCAGGTACAGCTTATAATTTGAGAAAAGCCTTTACCTGCAATTTTCTGAAACAATAAATAAATCTATATTCCTGTACCATAGGTAGCTTAAAACTGCTAGATCTTCAAGTTTTAATTGCCTAAGATAAATGTCATGTATTTTTGAAGGTAATTACTTTGTTTATTAAGTCACAAATTTCATAATAGTCTTGTTGGTGCATGTTACAATATAGTTGAATTTGTACATATTCACTGCAAACATAATATGGATTGTTTGTTTAAGAACAGACATAACTGTTGATGTTGCAAGGAACATGAAAATTCCTTAATATGTAATTTTCTACTCTCTCTATATGATGCCCTCTCCTATAAATGCCCCATATCAATCTAAAAATTTCGTAAATACCTAAGGGTGTTTATCAGAGAAAGTTTAGTGGACAGATTCAAAATGCATGTCCATTTGTGGATCTTTTGAACAAAGAATCGAATTAACATTAAAGCAAGTTTTGGAATTTTTTGCCAAAGAGGGCTATAGATGATCTACACTTATAGATAAAGTATTAACCCTGGTTCCGTTTTCAGGTCCCCTGATAGGGGGGCGTGAGTGGGAAAAAAATTCGTTTTGGAAACATGAGAACAAGTTTTTTGCCTTCTGGGGCTGCTTAGTTAGCAATTTTTTCAAACTTTTGTGCAAGGAAAAGATGACTCCAGTGGTGACGCCAAGTGGGGTATGGGGGGTAATTACTTTTGTTAAAACATGGTCTATGCATTTCTTCTAAAAAGGATTAAAAAGCGCTAGGTAGGAGTAAATCATATTTACTAAAGAAATTAACCTGGTATAAAGCAGTGAAACGAGGCAAAAGGGACGTGGTTTAACTGGCCACGCCCATTACCCTCCCACTCTACAGTAGCTGGCGCCGCCACTGGATGGCTCAATTTGTTGGCAGATGAAACCTGGAATCCACCCTTGAGCAAAGTAACTAACAACATCCATGTCAGTACTTCCACAGTGTTCTGCCCAAAAAAGCATGAAAATCTGGAAGTGAATAGCATAAAGATAGACTTTGTGTACCTCTATTACGGCCTCGTGACGTGCAATGCCACGCCGACATTGGACACACCCTTTTAAAAAATTTGCTTTTAATGCCTCCTCTCTTTATGAGAATGAATAATTAAGTGGTAAGGGGTTGTGGTCAATTTTTCATTTCAGATTAAAGAGCCCAGCTTCTTGATCGGCACTACCCCCACGCCGCAAAACCCCCTGTTCTTGCTAAGACCCCCGTCAGGAACAAATTTATGTTGTTGTGGTTAGACTTGTTTACACCACACGCGAGTGCCTTACCCTAGCGTGAGTAGATTTATCAGTTCCTTCTGGTTGTTTTGGTAAATATTCTTCAAAAAGTATTGTTTTAGATTCTGCTTACGTTGAAAGATATGCACTAGCCCGAATCAGTTTGAAAGAAAGTGGTTTCTTCCTGCATCTTAACGGCCTCCTTGGTATACAGACGACAAGGTGACAAAAAATAAATGGCGGATGAAAACACGAAATGCGAGCATGTTGAGAGTGAAGATTATTTTGATGGAAACCACCGTAATGAACTTGTATCTAGGATGTCGAAAATGCGTGAAAATGGCACCCTAATAGACATCTGGCCAGTGGTTGACAATGTAGAATTTCCAGCCCACAGCCTTGTTTTGGCTTCGTGTTCTGATTACTTTCTGGCTTTATGCAACTCGAATCTAATTCCTGGAAATCGAAGGGTCCTTATAACTGATCTGGGGGCGTCAACATTTCAGCAGCTATTAGATTTTATGTACACTGGTGCTATAACGATTAATCCTGAAAATGTTGAAGATCTGTTGAGGGGCTCTGCCATGTTGCTTTTGGATAAAATGAAAACTAAATGCTGTACATATATTTTGAGTCTTTTGAATGCGCAAAATTGCCTAGGGATTCTATCGATTGCAGATGAATTGAGCTGCGAGGACCTGTTCAACAAAGCAATGAAGTTCACTCAACGATGTTTCTCAGAAGTTTGCCTAAACCCAGATTTCTTACAGCTTCCTTGCCATCTTGTGAGCACTTTAATTGCATCTGATTCCACGTCGGTATCAAATGAAGATTCTGTGTATTCTGCTGTTATGAAATGGATCTCTTACAAAGCAGGCAGGGAAAAGTTTTTCTCAAAATTGTTCCTCAATATCAGGCTTCGATTTGTAAGCGAAAAGATTTTTTCAACTGATATTTCAAACAATTGTTTAGTTCTGAATGACCCAGCATGCCTTGATAGGTTAAATGATGCAAAGAATTTAAGATGTGAAATTGCACAGGGGAGAAGAACATCAAGCATACCAATCAAGTGTGATACACACTGGGTCAAGCCTCGCTTATGCATGTCAAGTATTGATGCTCTTGTAGCTGTAGGTGGGGTGCATGCCTTGATATACAATGCAGAGGTAAATGATTGGTTCCAGCTAACACCAGTGATAACAAGGCACTGCCCTGGCTTGGGCGTGCTAGACAATGACCTTGTTATCGTTGGTGGAAGCAGGGAATGGAAAAGGCTTGGAGGAGGTGTCAGATATGACCCAAAGAGAAACCAATGGCTAAGCATTGTTTCCATGAACCACAAAAGAAGCAACTTAGAACTGTCTTCTTTGGATGGCTATCTTTACGCTATTGGTGGGTATGATGGGGAAACTCCTTTAAGGTATGCATGTTTAGCTTTTTAAGCATTAGCATACAATGTCATAAAAAAATACCCTGTTCTATTAAACTTCTTGCCAGCCACGTAGCTGCTGTGCCCCCCTAAATGACAATTTTGACAAAAACTTGTCCTCTCTGGCTACAGTTTTTCAATTGATCCTATGAAAAGGTCGGGTAATTTAAATTCTGCAAGTTTGATTTAGTCCAAATATATCTTTTTGCTATATATTTGTTTTCTTGTTTTATAGCCTGCCCATCTCAGGTATGGATCTTGCTCTAGTTTGCCCACCTTCACTGACATCTACGGCTATGTGGTTGCTTCCTGCTAGATACACTATGCCTGTTTTGTGGGGGGTGTCCATCTTTGCATTACCATGACGGTATTCTGTTTAACCATCTTAATCCAGAATATTTTGACAATGAATACAATGTTGTCTCTGAATGGCTTGAAACCCAAAATAATTCAGTATGATCACTGTGTTTTAAATAATGACATTTTTCCTTGAGCTGATACCGCTGTTTTTGAATAATCATTACTCTCGATACCAAGAGTGGTAAATTCAGTGATGTCTCAAATGTTTGTTTTCAAGGGAAATTTATTAAAAGGACCAAATAAAAAATTTTTTGGGTTGAGATGGCCAGAACTCCAAGAAGGAAGAAACAAGTGTAGTTGCACAACTAAAATGAGATAAGATAATCCACAACTTGCAGCCAATCTATTTTTATAATAATTATAAAAATACTGACATATGGGGCATAGCCCCCCTGCCCCATTCTGGCCTTGGGTCTTGCTTTATTAGAAAATGAGATTTTCTTTGTATGGGAGGATGACTTGAGCAATTAAACGAGTGAAGTCATAAACTCTTTGACAGTGCAACAATTCGAGCAAGCATATGATCTGCTTAAACATGCAGATAAATTCAAATACATTTGACATGATTGATCATAACAGGGTTTTATAGGTCTCTGTGACCTTCTACTCCCTTAACTTTCTATATTATCCTTATTATACTATTAGTATTGTAACTTTTTTCTAGCTCTGTTGAGCGTTTTGATCAGAAGCACAACAAGTGGGAATTTGTTGCTGCCATGAACCATGCCAGAGATGGTCTCTGTGTTGCTGCAGATGAAGAATACATATATGCCATATCTGGTTATGATGGAAACAGATACTTGAATTCTGTTGAAAGATATGATCCAACAAGGGATATATGGGAATTAGAAGGTGATTAATTTGCTTTTTAGTTCCTTTTAACATGTTTGTATTCATTGGTGGTGTAAGCAGGGCCGTCGAGAGGCAGCTCGGGCCCAGGACTGATTCACAAAGCTGGAATTCCTTGAGAAAATTTCCTGTAGCCACACCCTTCAGTCTCCAGGAGAACAAAGGAAGTGCTCTTTTTAGGTAAAATTGTTAAAAAAAATTTTCAAGGATTTTTTCAAGAATGTGCAAAAAAACTTTACATGAATCAAGGACATATGGATATTTTTCTGTGATAAACTTACAGGCGTTGATTCTGTATAAGTAGCTGAAATAGTAGCTTTACATGCATTGTCAATAGATCTTCCTACTTTTTACGGGCCCCATCAGAGCATAGACCCCAGACCTTTTGTCCCTCCTAACCTTCCTCTTGGTGCTCCTGGGTGTAAGCCACTATGCTGCGAGTTTGGGTGCAAAATTAAAAGTCTAGGTCTTGCCTTTTTACTGTAAGCAAACCATCATTCAACAGGGGACATCAATTTTACTATTAGGTACCACCCATGACTAGCTTTTGGTTACTCAAAGACAGTTTTAAAGTCATACCAAATACATTGCCAAATATAACACATCCTCTTAACATTTTCTTATCAAATTATGGCAACATACAATGAATCCTGCAAAGAACTGGGAGATTTGTCTCTGCAGCCCCGAATGGTGTTGCCATTGTTTCTATTTATAGAAAAACTGACAATAGGCTCCATAAACTGGTGAAAGGATGGCTCAGTATTTAGGGTTCTGGACAACAGTTGTTAGGGTTGTTGACAACATCTCCAAGCGTTTTGGGTGCAAGTCTCCGACACTTTCACACAGAGTAGGGAGAATGGGGAGCTCTCTGCAGCTCCAAGTGTAAGAATCCAGAGATGTGTTCACATCAAGAGGAAGGACCAAGGCCTTGTGCATTTAGCCTTCCTAGCTTCTCAGTGTCCCAAACCTTTACTTCAAATGCTAGGTAGAAACAAATAGAAACAAAATGCAAATTTTCTTTGCTATAGCTCTGGTCTGGTGTATGTCTGCTATACAAAGGTTTCATTAGAATTAGCTTATCTAACTGCTTGATTTTATTTGACAAAGGGAAGTTACAAAGTAAATCATGGCACTGCCTTTCCTTTTTTAGAAAATTAGACTCTTAACCTCCCTTTTTCCAATGTTATCAAATTATAATTGAACTCTGTTCATTCTAGGATTTGCGCCAATAAAGCAGCACAGAGAAAATGCTTCATGTGTTATAGTGGATGGACAGATTTATGTTTTTGGCGGATATCATGATTCCACCTTTCTTGGTCAATGTGAAGTTTATGATATTGAAAATAATAGTTGGAGTGAAATAACACCCCTGTCTGCTCCAAGATACCAAACTGGAGCTGCTGTGATTGACAGGTGCGTGTTTGTTAATATTAATTAATGAAATGCTAGATTGTATCATATTTTGATGCAAACCATATGCCACAAAAGATAAAAAGTAGTATTTACTAACTCTCCATGGATTCATTAAGTTATGTTGTGTACGAATAAAAGCCTGATATCATTAGGGCTAGAGATCTTTCTGAAACAAGCAAGCTAAAACAAAGTTCATTTCCCTTTTTACATTAGCCATTCTAGATACGTAAAAACACTTAAAGGCAGCCAGTCTTGTTATGTCAACTGTATTAAAGGTGAACACGCCCCAAAACCTGTGTAGATGTGTCCATTAGTATTTATACTTTTCTACTGGCATTCACATCCTTTTTTCATCGCTAGCTTAATAGAATGTAAGCGTTTTGGTATTGCATCTTTGCCTCTTGTACCACTCCTGATTTTAACCATTGGAAAATAAAATAAGTATTCTTACATGTTGTATGATGATAAAACTTTGATGCTTTGATGATAAAACTGAGCAGAAAACATAAAACCCAGAGCACGATGTAGGATACATCAATATTTCAATAGTATCTAGTTTGCTAGTACTGATATGAAATTAAATTAAAATTAATTTTTGATTTTCAGATATGCTAACTTTAACCTTGGAGAAAAAAACTATGAGTATGCTCAATCATATTCTCCTTGATAATCTAATACAGTAAAAACAAAATGATTGCTGTTCGAAAACAAATCAAGCAACTTAAAATATCACTTTCATTGGTTGGAAACTTTGTCAAAGCTTTGCAGGAAATCTTGAATTTTTTATTCTTCTGCCAGGAAGAAAATTCTTTTTTCAAGCCCTGGTTACCATATTTTATGTTATGTTAATATCTGCTTTTCTACCCTCTTCTTTTACTCTTAGATCGATTTATGTTTGTGGTGGATGGACTGAAAATAGTACAGCATCATCTCTTGTGGAATGTTATCAAATAGATGAAGATAGATGGGTTCCAGTTGCACCCCTACCAACACCATGTACTGTTCGATGTGCTTCCCTGACTTTCCCGAGAAAACGCTTGGAGGAAATTGTTAACTCACAAGAACATATCAAGCAGCAGACATCAAGATAAAAACTGTTTGGTTGTGTATCGAACTAACTTCTATAAAAATGTGCCAATATTTATTCCCTTTGTGTATTTTCACTAGACTATCAAATTACCTAGCCATTTAAGTATATCAAGATTGAAACACATATTTTTATCCGACACAAGGGAATAAAGCACTAATGTTCTTAGGATATTTTTTTGGAATTTTAAGATTTTGGTCTCAACTATATATACTTCAATTGCCCCCCTCTCTGTTGTATAAGCTCTTCTCAAAGTAGTACATACTCGGGAAGTGATCATTTCATGCAAGCCTCCATCTTAACATGCCAGTATGTACAATAAAAATGAAAAAATATACGAGTCTGTTTAACTTTTTCAAGTGATGTTGCAAAAAGTGAAAAAAAAGTTTGAAAACCAGTTATTTGTATGACAACTGTCTGATCATTTATATTTACAACCACCTTCATTTAAGTTCCCTTCGAATAAGCCCTCCTTTCAATGATGACACAGATTAAGCTGCACGGGGCCTAATTCAAGGGCTAGACCTTTTCTTCACACATATATCTGCACACTAGACCTTTTCTTCTCATTAGAGTAAGGATAACAAACTATTTTATGCTACCAGCATATCTTGGAATCAGATTTTACTTTACTAACAGAATTCATCTCTTCCTGACAAAATGTTTCTGAAAAGTGGTTACCCTTTATTCCAGAAGTGTATTAATACTTTACATATGTTGCTGTAGTATCAAGCACTTGACCTTTTTATGCAAGCACACATATGATACCCAAGTATGATACCCCTTTCCAAAAGGAGCAGTAGAGACTGGCTTACAAATAAAACATGTAGCATTGAATAATTTACATCTTTTATAAATCAAATCAAAGTTTTATAGTTGTTAATCAAAGTTGTTATCAATTATACATTTTTATTTTTATTAACTTTTAACATGTCAATGTTCTGTACATCCTCAAACAAGGGTCCTTCCTTTTTTAAAATTAATTTACTTTTCAATGTCCTTTTCAGGCATTTTCTTGTACCAGCAGCATTTCCTTTTGCCAGCAGTGTTAAAACCATGCTCAATTAAATAAGAATATGGGCGCTCTTGGAAAGAGGCACAGTAACACAAACTGGTCAATCCTTTTTTGCATTTGCTCTTAAACCTTTCATGTATTCACGCATAACTATATACATATCTATATATGGGGATATTTCTAAAGTGTTAATGTACATCAGACAAAATTTTTACAAATATTACTTATTCTACTTCATGCATTACAGTTGTGGTGTAATTAAGGAATAATATTACTCGACATTCAACTGTATTTATATTTTTTATTTCTATTAACATCATTTTTTTCTATCTGTTATCGCAGCTCCTAAAAGGCAACTCTGCTACGGAGTTCAGAAAAAGATTTATCCTTTCTTTTTGACAATTTCCACAATTTTGAAAACCTTCCTCAGAAAAACAGTGAAAATAAGAGTTAGGAGCACGAGGCAGAGAAAGAGGTACTCTCTTTTGGGTATACAGATTTGCATTTATATCTATTATAATCGTATTCGAAGACAAGTCTCTCTATGTGGTATACCTCTTTGTTCCGTCCAGGTCACAACAGCAATAAAGTAAATTTTAAGAAAATCATATTTTGCATAATTTTTATCCTTAAAGGTCGATCGTCCGAAAAAATTTTATTTTAATGCTTCAGCTAACCTTTTTTATACTTTTCGATTTCTGTACCATTTTTCAAAACTATGACAGAACCATGGATGTTTTCCAACAACCCTTATCAATGCCGATACCGATCTTGCACTTAATCCATATTCGAAAGAAAGTAAGCACCAGCACAAAATGGTGCAGATGATCCTTCAAGCGCTATTACCTTTAATTAAGCATTTGGAAACAAATATTCCCTTCTTTGCAATAGAAAAGCAATACGACAGATCGCTGTTTAGTATCCAAAAGAATTTGCTCCTAGTAAACAATTTCTGACTTTTCCTCTGTTACCACTTATTCACGAAGTTCAGCTTTACTCTGACACTGATTAGCATGTCTCTGATATCAGAAACTGGTTCCAGATTTCTGCAAACACCATCTTGTGCTGTTTCTTCCTGGTTCCAGTTTAAATAAAATCAACAAAGACATCTATTTCACGACTTGCTCGAGCCGGGCATTCCATCCTTAAACCCTAAATGAAACAAAAGGCTATAAGTAATAAACTATGTAGTCCGTATTTAATTTATAGCGCTCGCGTTGAAGTTTACTAAAGTTTATTCCATATCAAACAGGGACAGAAGCAACTTTTACACAAAGCTTCTCGAATTTTTTTTACAAATTGAATAAAATTTTACGTTGAATAAAATTTAAAAATTCCAGCTCCGTATCTCACTTAGTTTGTCATTTTGTGCATTATTTGGATGTATGTTTGGAAACATCGAAGTGACGTTACTTTGTTTTAGTCATTTTTAACCAAAATGGTGACTTTCGAAAGTGGCCCTTTTAAACGCCGCTTTAGAATGAGTAAGGAGACTTGTACCAAAGAGATTGCTCCCTCAAATTTCCCCTCTCGAAGTCACCCCGCCCAAAGTCGCCTCTTAATCCACTCCATGCTTTATGGCCTCAAAAATAGCCTTGTTTCGGATTGTGTCACCAGAAAATACTTTAAATAGAGAACGGGAACACGGCTGAATTTTTAGTTGTGAAGACATACCCTGTCATATCTGAAATTCGTAGAAATGTCGTGCAGTCTCGTTTTGCTTGTATGTCGGGGCCAAGGCCAAAGGCCAGAAGTTACTGTTTATAAGAAAAGTCCTACGCCAAGAAGAAGGGAACGGGAAGGACATGATGGTGAAACAAATCAATATCAAAATGCCAAGGAAACGTTTGAACAAAGTTAATTAACCAAGAAGGTTTGATAGCTATCATTGAATACCTTTGACAGCAATTTGAAGTGTATTCTTCTGAACCCTTGTTCGTCTGTTTATGCTAGATGCAAAGCCCTGGAACGTTACTGCTGTAAACTTTCGTGCTCTCACATTTTGGATGCTCCTGAAAAAGATGCTTTCTTCTGAAATATGTTCACTAACTTGAATGGCTTATAAAGTCAATGAACAAGAATAAATTTCTTTAAAAGAAATGTAAATATTAGTATTATAAATCAGAAAAGAATTAGCAAAAAGTACTGAACCAACTTTTTGAAACGAGCTTTAGCTTTTGCAGCACGTTCTTCAACTTTCTTTTTCCAAAATATCTCGGCAAGTAAGGCACAAACGGCAATAAAGGTGCCACCGATCAGAAATGAATATGCACCAAGCATTTGAATGGGCTCGATACGGCCATCTGCAGTTACTGAAAAAAACATGACACGGTTTTTGAGATGTATGCTTTTCCATATCTGTAACAATGTGATAAATGAGCAACCGAGTCGACTACAGCTCATGGGGGATGGGGAGGATAACTAGTTCAGTTGCTCAACACTGATCCTATCCTATCTTACAGAATGATGGTAAGGTGACTGTTATTTCCAGTGCAGGCCTACGAGTGTAAGATATAGGTTAGCATGCTTTTCAATAAACAAAAATTTTCAATATCTATGCCTTAAAAAAATAGTATTAATTATTGTAGCAGCTGTGATCGTTAATAAGTTAATAAGAGTGATAGGTTAGATCTGCTGAAGCTAAGCTTGTGCAAACATATTATAAGAAGAAAGAAGCAACATACTTCCATTTGAACTTGATTCGTCCTCAGGATCACTGCATTCCGACAGTTTGCTAGTGTAATACTGCTCTCGTTTCTTCAGATATCCTGACTCAGTGACCTTCAATATCGCATGAGTAATAGCATCCTTGAGAGGAGAGTCCTTTCTCACTGGCATACCAAAAGATGATTTCGGTAGCGATGTGTCAGCTAGTATGGAGAAGGTAAAGAAAAAGTATCAGAGCCAGGGGTGCCGTGAAAAAGGCTCGATATTGGTGAAAATCCCCTGTTAAGGGCGCATTCAGGGGTGTACCCAAGCTTATCCAGAAAACCTCCGAGAAAGTGGTGGTTTTTTCCTATCAGTCTTTTTGAGTTGCAGAATAGTTTGAGTAATTTCATACTCAAAACCTAGAGTCGCCCAACACAATTGCAACTGTAATGGGCGTGGTCATAGGTGTGGTGCGGTCATAGACGACACTTCTAATTGGAACAAATCCTATATAAATGGACCACACACTGCAACTTAATATCAAAAGATGTGATTGAAACCAATCGCAAACATGAATATTTGCAAGATTGTTACAAAGCTTTCAATTGCCTCTTTTCTGATCTTTCCCAACTGCTTCAATTTGATATTCTTAACAAGCTTTTTCCTTTATAATCTAAAGGATATTCCAGCAAATAATAAACCTCTAATTAAAATATTTTGAAAAGAAATAATGTACTATCATTAATAATTTATAATATTTGAAAGAATATAGAAAACAGTGAAACTTGGGTGTAAACTTTGTCAACATAATTAATTGAACTTCTTTACAAAGATGCCTCAAATTGAATAGTAGATTCAAAATCGTTTTGAAAAAAAAACAAAAGCCATGTTTCATTAATGAAGTTCATGCACAGCAACTCAAGGGCACCTTTAAAATCCCTGTTTCCTTGTTTGTATTTGTTTCTACCTAGCATCCGAAGATTGGTTTTTAGCACACTTAGAAGCTTATGCTTATCGAGCAGTCTTCTGGTCCTTCCTCTCGATGTGACCACACCTCATGATTCCTATGCCTGGAATCAGAGAGAGCCAGCGACTCTCTTCACACTGGGTGAAAGTTTGGTCATGCCAAGGACTGAAACCACGGACCCTTGGGTCTGTCGTCAGCGCCTCTAGCAACTGATCCATCCTCGCACTTATGCCTGCTTTCAAATGCCTGTTTTCAAAGCATGTACTTCAAAAATAAAAAATTGCCTCATATCTGAGCATATCACTGATTGAACATGCAAATTGCCGCTATTTCACTGCTTTGGAACAACAAGTTTTTATTAGTAACCCTTCAATGGATTTCGATCAAGTATGATACACAGTGACGTAATTAGACTAGGCGCTTTGGTGGGGGCCCATCCCGTCTGAAAAAGAATCATTTAACATCTTAAAATGATTTAGCGAAAAGGCTCAAAATGGCTATTTTACTCCCTGTCTTTCAATTCATTGTCTGTCAGAAAATCGAACTTCTTGCTCGGATTAATGATACTGCATAACAATTTCTATTTCCTATTCCTATTCCCAAGTAATCGCACCACCTCAAAAACCCCTGGATATGGCATTGGTACAAATTAACATACAATCTCTGCCAAAACTACTTGGAACACATATTTTGGTAAATTTTTGCTCTTTTCATTTTTTCTCTTGTTTCTAAGAGACTAGCCCCCTCCCATCTAAAACAACATTGCTTAAAAAGAAATACATCAAATCGCTGTATACCAAACCAATCGCTAAAGAAAGGCTTGAGACGATGTCTTAACTTTGCAGTAAGGCATCAAAAGTGTCCCAAGGGTCTTCGCGGTGATAAATGAACACACGTTATAAAGAAGAAAGACCCTTACAAATTTAGACCTCTTTTTCGAAGTTGAAAAAGGAACATTTTCCCATGTTCTCCTGAGACCAAAGCTATCGTCTACACACATGTATCAAATTGATAAATATTCAATTCACCTTTTGTTAAATCCCTTAACATTTGCTTTCTAAAGGTAACAATGAAGCTAAACTCACTTAATTCAAGGTCACATGGTTTCTCGTTGATTTTCCATTTTATGAATGGCTTTTCTTCTAGGTAGTACATGTTCTTTGTCTCTCGCACTCTTTTCGTGGCGTCATCTGTACTATGGGATAGGTCATTGAGTGCTACCATGCGCTCGTAAACACGACTATAAACTTGGTAGTCAGATTTTGATAGAAATTGCTCTAGAGCAGTGTCTTTTACAACCGTGAATTGATGTCCATTTTTCAAGACTGTTTCCAGGTCAAGTAGCTGACTCTTAGCTTTTGTAGAAGTAAAGAAGGCAGCCAGATTGGCAGTGTAACTCGAGGTGAGTATCAGCACATAGAACCAGAATCCACCAACCAACAGTCGTCCTATGAAACAAAAAACACCTTCATAACCTAACCTGAATAATGCCTAGACTGGTTTTCAAAATGGTGGTGTTGTTTAAAGTAATATATGAAAGGAAAATTTGCTTTCTATGAATCGGCATACTGTTTTGAGTATTGTTGAAAAAGAGGGAATATTGTCTGTTATAGTGTAAACAGGGCCTTAACTGACCAATTATAGATTGTGCCAATTTTAGATTGTGCCAATGTTAGATTGTACCGATGTTAGATTGTGCCAATTTTAGATTGCGCCAATGTTAGATTGTGCAAATTTTAAATTGCGCCAATTTTAGATTGTGCCAATTTAGATTGTGCCAATTTTAGATTGTGCCAATTTTAGATTGTGCCAATTTCAAATGTGCATTATGATTGTTTTTTTGGCAGCTATCAAGATCTGTCATTCTTTATATAGTGAACAAGCTCACCTGATAAAGACCTAGGGGTGTTATCCGGGCCTTGAAGTAGAATTGAAGCAACTGAAAACCAAATGCTGTTCATAATATCAAATTCTGTTCCTGGTCTGCCAGTAGCTTTTTCTCCAGTTTGCTTCCCACCATATGGGCTGCAAGCGTCAATAGAGTAAAGGAAGACCCCAATAAAAATGCAAGCCGTCAAGACTAGTCCCCAGACCGCTCCGCTAAATGGTTCCATGAACAAAAGCAAATTAACATGAGCTGCTTGCTCTTTTTTCGTTACAAAACCAATGCTCACTTCCATGAATGGTGTGTTGAAGTGAACCACCTCTTGCCTTACCGATGTTATTGTCAACATGCCGAGAGCCATGTCAGCTTTCTATACGAAAGAAAGAAGGATTGGCCAGTCAAAACCAAGGCATAAATCCTGGAATGAGATAGAAGCCTGCTTGTGTTGTCGTTTGCATAAACGCCACGGTGATCATTATCAAACCTTAAAGTAGATTTTGTCAGCACCACTTTCTGATATCAAAATACCCATTCAAGTTCTTTATTAGGTTCATAAGAATGTAATTAGCGTTTGAACTAAGCTGTATGTGAGCTCGTTAAACTACTTGCAAAGACATATAAATGTTTGTACCAATGTAAGCATAATTTTTATTATCGTTTTGCTAGGTCGATTTTGGGGTAGATGCACATAGGTAATACTTTCGCGATGTGCAGAGCGTTACCTTGTATAAGACATCACCAACAATTCCTCTCCACCTGCCATCCTCCAAGTGACCATATTTCCCATCAGCCACCTCATATAACGTGTAAGTGAAATTTGCTTCTTCTGCAATTTTATCTAAGATGTCAATTAAAAACCCATGGTATTTGACTGTTCCATTTGACAGAGTCTCTTTCATCGTGAAAGGTGCATCCTAGTCGAAAGAAATGGAAGGACTTGTTAACTGTTGTAGAAAATAAGCTCCATTAATACAAAATGCACGGCATTCTTCATGTTGAAAAACAGCCTCAGAAAGCAAGACCATATATCTGACATTGCTGTACTCAAACATTGCATGGTTGATTGTAATCATGTTATGAATCTCCTTTTCGATAACCTTGGCAAAGATTGATTCTATTTTGCAAATATGTGTTATAGGGGAGGGATTTAGGGGCTATTCCTTGCTGTTTTTGTCTGCACGATCCCCATGGCCAACAGAATAGACATGTTATGCGTGATATAATACTATCTGGTCAGAACAACAAAATAGAGTGGTACTGAGCTGCTGCAACAAAATTAATACAAACATCAAAGGCTAAAGAATGTGGTCGTGAGAGGCAACGTGTATAAAAAATGGGGGCACTTTTCCAAACATTTTAAAGAGAGGAAAAAAGGGCACTTACAAACTAAAAATGGGGCAATTTTCCAAAATTAAAAGGGCATAAGTCTCTTCTCTCTCGATCTTTGTATCTCTGGCAATAAAGGGTATATTTGAGGGAGACCAGGACCATTGGACTAGGCCAGAAAGACCACAATCCGCATTCAAAATAAGAGTAACCTTCATTAGAATTATATTACATTATATCAATTTGAAGATATGATGATAAAATTAGAAGACATGTACGAACCTCGATTGTCACTACTTTCAAATGACCATTCACTTTAAGCAATGTTTCATAATTAAAGTTTGTTTGAGGTGCTGTTAGGAGTGATACTACACCATTTTCATCGATGTATCCAATCTTTAAAATAAGAGATACCATGTGAATAAATCAAATAAATTGTGATTGCAGAATGACTTGCTTTTAAGCTTAGTGTCTTTGTGTACAGAAGCTAGCACTGGTCAGCAACGACAGAGCGTTTTTAAATAGGGTTGGATATGTTTTTGTTCACTCTGCTCGATTTTTACGATATTTCGCAGCTTTGGATTAACTGACCTTTGAAGCTTTGTTATGAAAATCAGATCTGCAATCTTCAAACTACTAATTTTTAGATTTTTAGATACCGCCTTAATATTGTTATAGCGGAGGATTGCAAATAAATTTGAGACGTTAAAAATGCAGTTTGGTAGTATCAAGTAATGTTCCCTATTGCTTATTTGATCAGTGTTGAATACGAAATTTAGATTTTGCAGAAATCCATAACTTTTGAAATTTTTTAGATGAGGTACCTCTTTATAGGTTCTCATCTTCTTTTGTGTTGCACTTATTTTGATGTTTATGTCGATTTGGTTGATGATTTATAGGAATAGACCTAAGGCTTGGAATTTTAGTTCAGAGTCAATGCTTTACTTTGTAAGTTATGCGAAGCTGTCGAAGAAATATCCTCCTTGAAAATTCAAATTAAACTAAGTAGAGATATGTCTTTGACGAATGTTTGATATCAAAATACGAGGTAGACAATCCTTTTAGAATAAAATTTTAGAAATACGTTAATGAAATTTTGTTTAATCTATGTTCTGAAGACAATTGATTTTTACCTTTGTGAAATTATTCTTCTTTAGGCCCATTATTTGAAAAGGCATTTTTTTACGAAAACCGTTGCTTTCGAATTCCAAGTTCCCTGTCAGTCCGAAGCTTTTGAACTAAAAAGCAAAAATAAGTTAAACATCAAGGACAGGAGTTGCTGTTTGATTCTATATCTACCAAAGTACGGGTATGTTAAGTACATTATTGCTGCTTTTATTTACAAATATCTAAAAATGGCTAAGATTTGTTCATTCTTTGGGTTAGGGGAAGAAGTATTTTTACTGTCAATCGAATACATATTTTTGCTGAAAGTCAACCCTATCGGTATTGATCTGGCTACAAAAAATTTGTTTGTCTGCTTTAACTAAAGTCTACTCGACTGTAACTACAGCTTAATTGAACCATTTGGCATGTTTGGGAATAGATCTTACGTGACTGCAACAGGCAGTGTGCCTTTAAGCGAAGTGACTGTAACCGGAGTTGTTTGTCTATTGCAGGGCCACCGAGACACTGGTGACCGAGAGCCACGCCGGACCCGGGGACAGGCTCAATGTTTGGGCCCTTCCTATCCAAAGCAATGAATCTAAAATACGTTTAATATGGTTCTAAAATGCTTAAAATTTTCATATTTATATTAAGTTTATATTCAAAAAGTATTGTTAAACATTCCCTGTACAGATCTCATTTGCAATTACCATGTCATTAAGAATCATAAATTAAAAGAGACAATTTAATTACCAGCAGGCCCCTCATTGCTTATGGGTCAAGGGCAATTGGCCGCTTGCTCCGCCCTTTTGTTGTGCCTGGTATATTGCAGTGGTTTTGAAAGAATAATGCTGATCAGAGACTATTGTAAAATATTACCTTTGTCAACTCGCTGCGAAGAATTAAAGCGTTGGCAGCGCTTGTTACTGTTCGTTGAAGCAATGTCCCACTGTATTTGTTCCACTTGCCTCGTGAATTGAGTCTAGCGATGGAATTTCCAGCTGTCATTACAGCATCATAGATCAATGCATGCTCTGTCTATTAAAAGGAAATTATAGAAATAAAAAAGAGGAGAGAGTATGGGGTCAATATTCACGGGAGGAGCTAGCAAAACGTTCAGGAGTGAAGGCATCTTACATCTTTTTGCTAGGCTAAGTAGACCATAGACAGGAAGATATCTATTTTTGTCATTGTCGACAATTTTTCGGTTCCCTAGATAACGGTTTTCCTTAATGGTAAATAGTTCAAGGACTGCTTCAAGGCCAAATTGAAGTTTAAAATCCCTTTGTGGAACTCGACGTTACTTACTTTTGTGGGTCAGTTGCTAAGGAAAGCCACCTATACGAAATTTTATGTTGCATCCCTGATGCCAAGGCTAGTGAACATTTGTTAAATCGTCTCAATGATAATCTGTTGACAAGGTAGAAGATGGTTTTGGTCTAATTTGGAAAAGCTAACGTTAGTTAAAAAACTGTGAGATGACCAGTGGTTTGTCAAACATCACAGATTAAAGCACTTCCGATAACTCTTCAAAAAGAAGTGCTCCTAATTTTTGCACCTCTTTTCGGCCTGAAATCCTTGTTCTTCTTTTTCCCAAGTTTTTCTTCTTTTTTGCATTTGTGGATTTAATGTAAAATTTTGCCTGGCACACCTCATCTTTTAAGCAAGACTATTAGAAGTGAATTGAATTGAATTGAATAGAAGTAGCAAATTTCTGTATTGCTCAGACCCTTTGGGTTTGAAATTCTGCTTCATAGCTTCCTTGGCAATGCGGTTTTAGGAAGATTAATAAAAAAGTAATAAGCTATCACACTGCCTGATTTTGAATTGTAAATAACAGCTATCTTTCTTGACGTGCTTGCATCACATACCAAGGTTGATCATCTTTTATCTGATTTGCTGCTCCGAATGTCAGCAGAAAATTACTACATATACGCGCCGCCAGTGGATTATAAAGTTCCTTGGTTGATAGTACATAGCATATGCTTCCCTCTTTCGTCTCGTTGCTACCACACAGTCGTTAGAATAATTCAGTTGGGTTTCCACGGATATGATATATGCCTGAAGAATTCTTAGGGGAAAGCACAAACAGATGTCCGATCAGAAAAGGTTTTGAAGTTACCAAGACTGTTATCAACTTTACGTACCATTGATCTGCCATCAGAGGGTACCTTTTCAACAGCATTATAAAAATCATTCGACTTTTCTGTATTCTCCAAACTAACTTGTAAGGCAATGACAGTATGTGCCCTACCAACTTCTAAGGCTGTCCCAGCTATCTGTTACAAAGCGAAAAATTAATTAGCATAGTTTTTCCAAAGCGAATTCACAGCAAGATCATAATAATCACTTCAATTTTGTTTCTCGTCTTCCTACTACCAACATTCAAATGCATTCTAAGTATCTGTAAGAATAATCCCACATTGCATATAGAAATTCATTGTAAAGGAAAGCATATATACTTCTACTTCAGGTAAAATATCATGTGGGAAAGATGTGTTCAATTTGCTTGTACCCTACAATGTGATCTCAATTATTATCAAATGTGATATACAGGTCAACATTTTCCCAAATATCCAAACATTTGCAAATTTATATAGGAGAACCATTCAAAGATACTGGGTGCTTCATTCAATTTGTCTGAGCAAGTGCCCATTGTGTTTCATAATGCAATATAGAAAATCAAAGAACAAATACCTGCACCTTGCGGAACACCAATGTCATTACCATTTAATCATCAATTCACAACAAGCTCAAAGCAATTCTGTAATGCTTGTAAATTTCACATGAGATTTAAAATATCGAAATGACTAGATATACACTTTCATTTGGAGAAGTCAAGAAGAGCTTACTGGATCATAGATAATAAAAGTGGAGGGAACAGCCTGTATGCCAATGTACTCAATCTTTAACTAGAAAGCAGAAGAGTATTTGAATCAAACCAATGAGCAAATCACAATTTCTCCTATGAATAGCTACCCTTTCTTTATTTAGCATTAAGATAACCATTTTGCAGTTTATTGTAGTTAATCAGTCACATGTCTTTATGTAATGGCAAAGGGGCTGCCATCGTCCTTTGCTCCCCGTGGTATCATCTCTGTCATGTTGCATAGTTTTATAGAAGATATAATACATTTTTTGTTAACATGTATTGTAAATTTTAAATCAAGAATAGAAAAATCTATATTAAACCCTTGAGAAAGTGATTGCCTTATTGGTTCACAAAATATTTTTTTAAATGCTTGCTCGCCGTGTAATAGACCTTTCCCCATATTACGCCATGGCGCAATGCATTCTGGTACTTGCTTATGTTTACTACGGCGATCGGACTAAGTTCTGTAATTGTATTACGCTATGGCACAATGCATTCTGGTACTTGCTTATGTTTACTACGGCGATCGGACTAAGTTCTGTTGTTATTCAACGCCTTTAGCTCAAATAATCAAACAAATCATTGAAAATATCTCAGAATATAACGAGCAACACATCAACACGAACATAAGCAAATGTTCCCGGGTTTAACTACAAGTACCAGAATCCATTGCGCCGTGACGTATTAGGGGAAACGTCTTTATCATTATTCAGGATTCAAAAGGAGGGTCAGAATTCAAAAGTGATCATGCACTCAACTACAGAATCAAACAGCTTTTGAAGCTTCTCTTCGTCATAAATGACAACAATACCATCTGATTTTTCTGTTACAATCGATTTAAGCCTGTCGTATGCATGCTCCTCCACTGTTCCATCACTTTTGCAATCAATGCTGATGTAATGTTGAGCAACATTTTCTTTTGCTAATGATTCGCTGAGCGTGTCCATATCAAGGTTTCTTGAATCTTGGAATATAAGCATAATGCTTAGCAAACTCAGAAAAGCTTTTCATTAAAATCTCAAACGTTTACAATCGAAGCTTTAATAGTAGCATGGAAAACAAAAACTTAATTTGCTACAAGAAATCTTAAATTTTACTATACAAAAACAATTGTAATGATAGGAAATAACCTAACATCAACAATTTTTGAGAGATTATACCTATGGCTTTTTACGCATGTACCGACATACTGAGAAGGATAGTTGCACGGACAGCTTTGCGAAAAATTTCGCTATGCAAATAAGACATATTGAAACGATTGCAAAAAACGAGTCCTGCATGCCAGCGAGAATAAATTGCCATTGAATAACATGATTCAGTTTGTCTATTGCCTTATAGTACATGACCATACCGCACTTATTGATCTGCTCATCTATAAAATGAATTAATCCATCAACCTGCAATTAATCAAACTGCTGTGATGCAAAAAAACCTGAAGAATTCAGTGCTGGCGCTAGGGAGAGGGGTTGATAGAGTATTGTTTTTTCTTAAATAATCTTTTATATTTGGTTTTATATAAGTTACCTACTTTGGTAAATGATACTGACAGACAACAACTGTAGCCTCTTCACAATTTTTACAATAACTTCACTGTTCTCTTTCATACTGGCTACCATCGAGATAGAATTGCTTAGTGCTGTCCAAGATGTTTGGCTGCGTTTCCACGTTTCAACAGTTTGCGTTCTCAACACATCTGATACAAAAATCGCTGTCCTTTCTTTGCCAGAAACTCGGACCAGAATGGAAGTGTTCCGTTGTAAAAGTTGCGAACCTATAAAGCGATTGAAAAAAACAGATTTTTGTTGTATGCTGAGCTTCTTTGTAGAAAAATTGAGTGCCCTATTGTTATTATTGACATTAAGTTAACTGCTGATGATATGGATGGAAAACGTAAACAAAAAGACCGGTAAATTAAATTCTCTAGTTTGCAGAGCCCCAGCAAAGAATTAAGAGACATCTGATTTTAGAGTGATAGCATTTTCTAGGTTAAGAGGAGCTTTTGTTACAAATTATGTAAAAGTATTACTTTTAGAAAACTATTATTGGAAAACTATTAGATTATCTGGGCTTGTCATGATAACAAATAGAAGACAACAGCAACATCGTAGACATTGAGGCTATATTTCGACGTTTGAGTGATTAGAATTTAAAATGTATTGAAATGCAGACACTTTCATTCTGATAATTATTTGCATTGGCGCACAAATGGCCACCAACAATTTATTAGGGAATGTTTTACCCCAACTGCTCTTTTGTGTAGGTGTCTTTACTTTGGTCAATTTTTTATTAATATGACTCACCCAGATCTAGTAGATCTACTTTTTTCTCCAAAGGGTCGTAGATATCCAGCTTGAATGTCATGTTTGAATACGCTGTGTTAAGATCAATTACTGATTGGTTTGCTGCAACTTTCGAGCGACTGGAGTTACTTGCAAGTATTGCTAAAAATAAAAATAAGAAATGATATCTAAGGTTAATTGCATACATGCTTTGCTTATAAAGGAGAGACATTAGAGACAAAAAGTGTAGTAGCTTTATAGCATAACCCAAGACTTACCAAAATTAAATTTTTTGAAACTCTTACAAGTTACCCTTATCCAAAAAAAGTTTCATACAGGAACAGGAGGTAAAAATGACCACTAATAGGTAAAAAATGTTTAATTATCTCAACCGTTCAACAAAAATACCAGAAAATGATAAATCGTCGTTAACTGCCGTATAAGGTTCTGTAAATTATTCCAGTGAACAAAGACTCCAGACTTTGACATTTTTAATATCATTTTTTTAAGCTCTCCCTTTTTATACAGGTCCCAAACTTGGTAATATGAAGGGCTTATTTTCGTTTTACATTCAGTGGCTGAAGTTACAGAGGTTTGAATTCGACATGACTTGGAAATGGTATCTCGAAATATGATTCTTTAAAAAGAAAGTAGAAGGTAAGAGCTTTGTTATGTCGGATCTTAGAAAATTCACTCCCCTTGTTCCACCAATCAAAAGGTTCAATTTCCGCCATTGTTTATGTTTCAGGGACACCGATAAGGGTCAAAAATTTGCATTTGAGAAAGACGAGAGCAATCTTCCCATTTTATCTCAGAATTTAATTGTTTTTTCAAGCATTCATTTCAAATTGCGCATAGATGCATCTTGCTCTGTTTGGTATACCAAACCTGAGACTCTTTTGTAGATAACTAAGTTGCTGGTGTCTTTGACTATGGTAATTATTTAGTGTGGCATCACAAATTGTCAACTTTTTTCTTCCATTGAGCTATAGGTAAAGTTAAAAGCAGCAGGGTTTCTTGAAAATTCAACTGTTTCAGGTTTGTTTGGACCAAAATCACCAAATATAGAGAAGTAACCCCAGAATAGAACATGCATTATCATGCTCAACATGGCGAATAGGATTCACCATACCAACTCATATATCTGCGTATTCATTGCAGTTCACTTGCTAGGGATAATTGTTATGGCTTTATGGTTTTATGACACTATACAATGCAAACAATGCTTCTTCTTATACTTTACGCCGCCTATTTCAACTTTTAAAAATACTTTACTTTTTGTACTGTGCTTTGTATTTTTATTTACCAACTCTCAGGCTAAGCAACTTAGCCCAAATTGTGCTCTTGTAATCAGACCGTGATTACATTCATGACAAATAGCCTAGCCATTGTTTGAAATTCTATCGGTTTGGAATGTATAGGTCTATTCTATAACCCTTACAAATAATTTTGTTTAAAACAATTACGATTTACAACAGTGAAACGTCAATATATCATGCTGTATTATACTGGGTTTATGAAAATGTTGGCCGAGCAGCCTTCCAAAGGCTTTGATTAAAGCTTGTTCATTAAAGAAAAATCAGTTATTTAGGCCTCGGCTTGACCATAAGTCATCAATATATAGCTAGGCGCCTGAAAGATAAACACTTATTTTTTTTGCTTGCGCATTGAAATATTTGATGGAGCAAAAAGCATTTAGAAGTTTTAGCAGATGAGAAGATCAGTATCAAAAGATCATCTGCATAATACCTCATGAAATACAGTAGATGGGGATTAAAACTTGACAGCTCATTGCATTTCCAAGTATTGGCATCTTATTGCACGGTTGGCTTTTGATTTTGATGACTTCTTTCATGGGAATTTGCAGCTTCTCTGGCTCTGAGGCCCATTTTGCAGTTTTTGAGTGAAATTTGAGAGAAATTTGAAGTTTGGACCACGTACTGTCAGTAACGCTACTCCATTTCGGATTTCCCTTATTTCAGATGTATCTCCCCACACATGGCATATTATCAACTCTAAACAATCAACGAAGGTCTTGCAAAAATATGTAGAAGTGCTAGGGTTCGGGGAGTGGAATTGCGCTCTGAAATTTGTAGGACTTGTCCTTGAATGTGCCTTAAAGTTTCTAAAACAGCAAGCCAGCTGAGAGAAGCTTCTTTATTCTTGACATTTGAAGCATAATTGAGAACTTCTTTTTTTTCACCCACGCCGAGTTCAATCGCTTTTCAATGCCCAATATACGAGAAGGATCGAAAAGCAATGAGAGACTCACTTGGTTGGGTGTCCCAAAAACATCGCAGACATTCTTTAAACAGTCTGAATTTATTGCTTGGCTAAATTTTGACTTTTTCTTTCTTTTAAGAGCTTTAAGGTGGAACCATCGACAAAGCTAAGCAATCCTTCTCAAGCTGTTATTCCGACGTTTAATTTATCTAGATCATACCACATGTTTAGAATTTAGAATTAAATGCGGCATGCCTATTGCTAGCTTGGTCTCCCGACAAAGATCACTGTAGAATTAAAATAAAAATTTTTATCTGTTGTATTAAAAGCAATATCTGTTGTATTAATTTGTTTGAATAAACCCTCTCTGTATGATGTTTTGCCGTCTTTATTAACAGTTTTTTTGATAGTAAGGAAGTATAGCAATTAGCCCAAATGCTTTATATAATATTCGCAGCAACACGTACTATTGTGAAAAAACCAATCAGAATATAAAATCCATTAAAAATTATGATAAAGCCTTATTTTTGAACAATGTACGAATAACATTTAAAGCATTCCTACCAAATGTGAATGCTTCTGCCGACGCACCAAGCAGACAATCAAGGATAACCATCGTCACCAAAGAGAATGGGTTGGTTATGACAGACACCTATAAAAGTTCAAAATATCATAAGAAGGTTGACGATAGATTTACAAAAGAGTCGAGACAGAGAATTAGAAAGATACTTCAAAGTACGAATATGAAAATTTTTCAAAACATTGTTAAAGACAATATTGTAAGCAAATAAATTGAGTACCAGAATGAAAATGAAATAGTTTGATTGTTAAAACACAACGTTTCGATCATGTACTCGTTATCAAGTGGCTAGAAAAGAAACGAGCCGAGCAAAGAGAAGGCAAGATTTGATAAATAGAAATAAATGGGAGATGCGACGCAACCGAGAAAACAGAATCGGGGAATGGGAAGAAAGTAGGAAAAGAGTAGTAAATAGATAGAAGAAAAGTAAAGATTTGCATTTACAGGAGTGTTTCTTTCAACTGCAAACCACGTCTTGCCAAGTACTAGACTTCAACAAAGCCATTATCAATACGGTTAAAGATAAAATCTACAACGGAAATCTCTGATCCAACGCTTCAACCCTTTATTTTCAACATCCCAGAATTCCTGTCTTCTATATGCTGCCTAAGATTCATAAATCTGGTGATCCGGGTCGTCTTATTGTGCCAGCTGTCTTCTGCCTAACATCTCAAATAGCAGCCTATCTGGATTCAATATTCACACCGATCTTCCAAGATCTTCCAACGTTTGTCAAAGATTCTTTCCATGCTCTTCACATCTTTAAGGAACTCGAATCCAAACAAATATTTTTCTTTACTATACACAAGCATTCCACAAAATGATGGTTTACAGGCACTAAAGTTTTTTCTCGAACGACGATGTTTTCAAAGTCCACCAACTACTACTCTTCTTCGCCTTGCTGAACTGGTCCTAACAACTAATGCCTTTTCATTCAACGGTCAATATTATCTTCAAATATCTGGTGTTGCAACGGGTAGAAAACTTGGCCCAAGCTATGCCTGCCTTTTCGTTGGCCACCAAGAACAGCTTATCTACGAATCCAATAATGGCCCTGTTATTGCCTCATTAAAAGATACATCGATGACATCGTTGGAGCAACATATCTTCCTTTGGCTGACCTTCAACAATTTATTGACTACACCAATAATTTTCACCCAGCATTACAGTTGGCGCACTTTATCGCAGAAAAAGCTTACCCTTTTTGGACATCCTTCTTACTTTCTCTTGCAACGAAATCTCTACATCCATCTACTACAAACCTACAGATGCCCATTGCCTCCTAAACTACGATTCATCGCATCCAAAGGAAGTCAAACACTCTATACCTTTCTCTCAACTCTCCGCCGTATTTGTTCAAACGATGAAAGTTTTGTTTCAAAAGCAGAAGAAATATCCTAGCAGAAACAATAACTATCCTGACTACTGTATCCAGGCAGCATTCAATTAAGTAAAACAACTTTCTCAAGATGACGCTCCTTTCACCTTGACCTACCATCCTCTAAACAACAGCATAAAAAACATTATTTATAACAATTTCCATATTCTTATTAATGATACTGAAACAAAGAACATCTTCAATGCACCACCACTACTGGCTTTCCGCAGAGACAAGAATCTAAAGGACCACCTGGTCAGAACAAACTTGAACCAAACATCACAACAGCCTGGTACTTTCCCCTGCCAACATCACCTCTGTCTGACTTGCACACAAATAAACCCATCGACCACTATCATCAACCATAACCAATCCTTCCACATCAGATCTCACTTTACCTGTTCTTTTTCCTGTGTGATTCACTGCATCATCTGCACCAAATGCCAATCTCTTTACATCGGCGAAACCTCCTGTCGAATTAACAACCGTTTTGGAGAACACTTGAGAAATGTTGCTAACCAAATCCATCTCACAGAAGAACACCAAAGCGATGCAGAAAGCAACATATCAAAACATTTAAACTCCTCCAATCATTCTACTTCCGACATGTCCATCCTTGGCTTATTGCATGCACCGCAAGACACCACCAAACGGAAGACTTTGGAGAAACGTTTAATTTTTAGCCTAAAAACTTTCAATCAAAATGGTCTTAATAAACATTTAAATTTCCTTCAATAATTCCCTTTTCTTTCAATTTCCTTCTTTCCTCCCATTCCTCTATTCTGTTTTCTCGGTTGCATCGCATCTTTCATTCTTTTCTATTTATCGAATCTCGCCTTCTCTTTGCTCAGTTCTTTTCTTTTCTAGCCACTTAATAACGAGTACATGCTCGAAACGTCGTGTTTTAACAATAAAACTATTTTATTTTGATTCTGATACTCAATTTATTTGCTAACTTTATTATCGTTATTTTGGATGAAATACCACACGCAACGTACATACTTATTTGCAAGTCAAAGACCCGTATCAAAAGATTTTTCATGAAAGCTTTATTGTTTTGGAAAGAGGGGGCATGGTGATATACTGTTATTGTGACGACTAAAGGGAATTCTAAAATACCAGAAGGCAAAATGGAAGCAATTCTAAAATTTTAGCTGCAAGCTTTATAAGAATCTAGTTTTTCTCAAAATGATATACAGATCTTAAGCTTACAATTGTAATCCTATATCAGACATCACAGAGCTGCTATGCAACGCTCAGGTTAAATCTCAATGTATAATCGTATTGGTGTTTAATGAGCATATTCCATATCTAAGCAGGGCCGTCAGAAATAGGGAAAAAAGTTTGGGTACTGTACCCTAATGATTACCAAACTGTGCTCTATTTCATTCAAAGTAGTGTATTGAAAGCAGCTAAAAGTAGAAAGTAATAGGAAGCAGCTAAATGTGTTACCCCTAATGAAAAATTCCTTCCGATGACACCGCTGTTAAATAGTTATAACAAGATTGTAAGCAAATAAATTGCGAAGAAATAAATTTGTTGTGAGCTGTTTTCAGCTAGGTATTCTGTTTGCAAGGATCCTTCTTAGTGCCCCAACACCGCATCATAAGCTTTTTAGCTACAACTATTGACAGGAGGGTGTTTATCATAAAAAGCTTAATTTGTTATTCCGTGACAAAAAGTTTCAACAGTTTTAGAAGCAAATTTGCTAACAGATAAAAGAAAATATAATTACTGTATTTTAACAGCTGACGTACCCAAGGCATATTGAACAATCTGTTGTGCTGTTTACATTCCCACCTTTGGTTTTGAACTAAACATTTGCTGTCGTTAGCTTTCTGCATACCCCGCAATAACCAAAGTGCCACTAAGGTATACCTCTAATGGCATCACGCAAAATGTATTCGAATTGTAAAAGATACACTGCCACCTGTTGCTGCTACTGTATATAAACTGTATTGAAGAAATCCCAAAGGTCCTTCTTCATTCTCCGCTCTTCTTTGAAGATATCCGCCCAGTATCTTTTCAATGGTTTTAAACATATCTCATTTCATAATTAATGATACGCTTGCTAAATTGGAAAATGCATTATGGGCGCTTTTTGTTATGTTTAATAAACATAGATCTTAAGTGTGTCCTCTTTGGCAATGAAAGGATTGTTACTGAAACGGTAGTGTTAATCAATGTCATTTCTAAATTGAAATAACCATAAACAAAGAATACGTCTCTATTAGAAAAACTTTGAAGTCTTCCGTGTGACTGTATCTTACATTTTCATAACATTACATGGAGAATCGTGCTAATTTTCAACTTGCAAATTTCTTTATTTTCATCAAGCGCTGGTCCTTACGCAGAATTGCTCGACATTTCTTAATAAATGAAGTCTTATCATTGCATGTACTATGCATTAAAGAAAAATTTCACAAGAAATACAACGAGTTCATAAGATATGCACAGCGATATACAGATTCAAACTTGTCATTGAGTGTTTTTAAGTCCTTCAGACAAAGATAGCGCACCTGAAAACGAATAGCATTGCTAGCCTCGAATTCGAGCTAGCTCGAGAGTTGACCTACCAGTTTGAGTCGATGAATAGCAAATACACTTCCTGTCATACTGTTCTATTATGCGTTAAAATTTTGTATGCATAAATAAAGAAAAGCTACATCTATCACGTTTCAAAAAGTTGCTCAACGCATTCTACCTCAACAGTGATCATTTTGTCGCGGCACTTTGAGACATAAGCTAAAATGTGGGGGTAGTGCATTTACCATGGGGTAAGTTGGTAGGGTAAAATCTCCGTTTAGACCCCCAACCTGAAGGATGGGGGTCTGGAGCAAAGGCTATGCTGAGCAGATATGTAGTAGAGAAGACGCGTCATTTTCTGAGATAAATAAGCAAGTATCGAACATGTATTTGCAGTTTTCAAGAGATATTTCAGGAAACATAAGCTATAAGAATAAACTTTGTAAGTCATTAACCAATCCAGAATAAGATAGTATTTTGGAATAAAACAGCTAACAAATGATGGCGGGAAGAAGGCAGCCACCTATGCCCCCAGTATTCTCCTATCAACAATTGCGGTGTTTTTCTTAATTCAAAAGTTTATTCAAAGTAAAATTATGCCCCACACCTTTTCCCAAAATGTTTATACCAGCCCTACCCGAAATGCTTACGCAGCATTTTTCTGCTTTGTAGTGTCATCTTGTGGATTTTGCTTTCCCATAGATGACCTGAGATGTTAATAATGCTATGGCAACTTCTCTATGATTTTCTTCTATGACACCTTGGTCCTGGTGACATACCTGGCATCTTAAAAATAGGTCACTAGCATGTCTGTAGATCAAAGGAAAACTTCAGAAACCGAATCCTAGAAAACCTCAAAATTAATTATTTAAACAAGTAATGATAAAACAGGTTAAACTAAAATGCGTTCATTTAACATTCCAACAAAAGGAATCATTACTGATTTTAAGTAGCATTCATGCACGTCACTAACTGTAGGAAGGTCAGCCTTCCGAAACATAGGATGATTTTCGATATTACATTGGACCTGTTTTTTTAGCTTTTCTTCGTGCCAAGGCACTTAATACTTAATTAGAATTTAATGTGAAGATATTTCCACTGACTTATAACAGTAAAAGGGAGTATGTGTCTTGAAACATTTGCTTGCTAATCCCTATGACAAGCCAATGAATCATGGTTTGATGCACACTGCACTTTCTACATTTTCATCAAATCTCGTTTCTTGAATGAATTTGATTGAATGTTTTGAGTAGGAAATTTCATGTTTAAGAGGGTGTTTTGGAATAAATTATGAAATGACATGCCAAATTTATTCATAAATTTATTTTCTCTATACGTTGTTTATGTCAGTATGGTTAATATGGTATTGTATTCGCTCGGTTAGAAACTGCAGGTGGATAATTCATCACTAAATTGTAATTGTGCAAAACTCGATTCATAGAAGACGATTTGCCCAAGTAATACATTTCAGTAATCTTCTTCTGTTTAAGCAACTAGCAGCAGAAAAGTTTGTTTGCAGACTTTCACTTGCAAAGCACAGATATGTCGGTATGAGATCTTTTATTTTTTAAGAGGGCTTTATAATACCTTAGAAAACACCTAGACAATTGTATAACATCATTGCAAAATGGTATATAGCACTTTTAGACATGTAGTTAGGAAATCTAGTGAAAAGTATTTTGTAACATTATTGGAGGCTACATCGCTGGACCCAAATCACCAGAAAGGAAAAGAAGAACCTGGACAGATGACATCAAAAATCGACTTATATTGATGATTATGATAATTTGAAAAGAATAGAAAACATTAGAAGCCTACGGGCTACGGTACACGTAGAAGCCATCTGAAATTGTCAATTAAATACCTTATAGAAAACTCACATAGTCTCTAATTAGAGCAGCTACCATCATTTAATTGACTTAGGATTGGAATTAAAAACTTTTTTGGGGCAGACATCCGACAGTAAATCCTGATGAATGAACTATTACTAGCAAACTGTTATGCCAAAAAAATGTTTTCCACTGACTCATAAACGTAGTGAGGAAATCTAAAGCGGAAATTATAATCGAAAAAACCTTGTCCCTTAGTAGTCAAAAATATTATAAACTGTGACAACGTGTCTCCTTTTCCTGAAAATATCTCACATAAAACGGGGCAAACTAAGAATTGAAATAACAAACGGGCCTACTTGGCCATTTTCGGGAGAAAAACGGCCCTAAATATTTTTCTTTTTCAACATATTATTCATATAAATGGCCGATTTTCAATTTAAGATTTTGTAAGGCAGTTGGACAGAAAAAAGGCCCTAAAGAAAGCAATAATCTTATATAATGATTTTGACTTGATTTCATACACGATTTTCAAGTCTCCGTTTCCAATCAATTGTTGAAAACATCAATGTTCGTCATTGTATATCAAGAACGACGCCTCCATTCAATGTCTAATCGAGTGAAACGTTTCTTGAATTTTGGTGAAAATGCAAAAATTTCATTTGATTTAAAATGGAAAATGATTTTTACATTTGAAGCTAACATTGCAAATAAATTTTATCTCGATAATGTCTTATCGTACTCTAAACTTAGGAAGATTAGCGGGGAGCTCGAATCGATATTATCAGGGCCGGCGAAACGTATTTGAAAGTGGAGGGGCCAAAATATCGAAGTCTTGAAAGGGCTTAGGAAAGGCCACCACCATGGTTGGTGGCAAGAAAAATTTTAAAACTATGGTGTCTTATAGATGGCCAGAAACTGTATCTAAATATCTACAATGAATTTTGACTAAAGGTGTCGTATAGTCGCATCTGTTGTGATTTTGACTTGATTTTGACTTAGAATAACCACTATCATATAGCTCGTAATGAAGCCTTTTTTAGATTTTAAAAGTACCCGAAATAAGATGGGGGAGAAAAATAAATGAAACACGGATTAATAAAAAACACTAACGTTGAAATATCAACAGAAAAACTATCAAATAAAAATAAAAAGTTAAGCAATTTTGTACAGTTAAGATATAACTTTGTAACATCTGATCTTAACTTTTTCGGAAATGAAGTGCTTTAACAAAAAATTGAAAAACCTTCAAACTGGGCTTGTCAAAATGAGTTTAAATAGAATTTATAATTGCGTCGATATTTTTTCCTTCTTAGTAGGAATGGATTATCCAAACGATCAAACGCTGAAGTTTTCTTGATGAAACTTTCTTATATCTTCAAAAAAAGTTCTTTCCAGCTGTTTCTTTTCCTTCGACAGCTGATTTCTCTCTTCTTGTAATGTTTCTGAGGAAGTTTTTGTTGACAAATAGAGCTTGCGTGCCAAGTTTAGGCAATGGAAAAAACGAAACTCCGTCAATTTGTGCTGGCACCAAGTTATTCTGGACTAGGTTTCTCGATCTATTTGCTAAGCTAAGCTGTTACTCGTTGTAAAACTTAGACAATGCCCAATTTCTTCGGTCTAATACCCATATTCAATTTTATGTATGTCTTCTATGGTAAAGACATAACAACCAAGGTAAAGCTAAGGACACATTTAAGAAAATACTAGGCAAAGTTACTTACAGAATCATACTACATTTATTTTCACTTTTGCCTGAAACTTTTTTTTAGCTCTGCAGAAAAGTGGGAGGGCCATGGCCCCGCCGCCCCCCGCCCCCCCCCCCCCGCGAGACAAATTTTGGACTCAGAAAGCATCTTTATTCTTGAAAAAATACGCTTTAGATAACTTTAAAAATTATAATGAGTTTGTTTTTGTTTGTTTTTAGCTGCTTCAGCAAAAAGGCAATGGTTTTTATAGTATAACTTTTGCATTGTTACTAACTGGCACATCTGTGGCTACAAGAAAAGTCGGTTTTGGTGAGTAGGTCCTTGGTATTGACTGTGATTTTCATTGCTAATAATTTCAGTTATTGCTGCTATTTTCACAGCAAAGCAGGAAAGATAGGGGAACGTTTTCTTGAGAAACTATAAAAGTTAACTCAGTTCAATTTATAAGAACGCTGTTAGTATCAGTGCCGTAGAAATAAAACTTAACCTGGGGGTGGGCTGCCCAATTAATGGGGAGGGGAGCCCCAGCTGAATAATTATTCAAAATTTACCTATCTGAAGATGTTTAGGACATGTTCTGCTATAAGTTGCAGCCGCTAGAAACGACGTGGCCTGGTGCATTGCAAATCATGTCACAAAAGTTGAATATTTGCCTTTTATTTGTAGGCAACTCGCTAAACAATGAATGTTTTTTAGAATTATTCATAAAGGGAGGCGGGACTATCTTGGAACTTAAAGGTAATCTGTCTCGTTGTGGATTGGTTAACGAGAATAATAGGTTGAACAATAGCCTAAACACGATTCCAGCACTCCGCCATATTTTTTACAATGCGATAAATTAAAAAGGGACTGGAAACAATAAAAAATCCCTTTGTTCTTATAACCAATCAACATCGTGACAGATAGCCTTTTATATGAAAAGTAATGATGACAATGTTTCTAAAGAGACATTAAACTTTCATAGTAACAGGTCAAAGTGCTAGCAGGTAACAATCTTCAAATTACTGTTGTTATGTGGGAAATCTTGGTATAATGGTGTTGTTATCTAACCCAGCCTAGACTATTGTCTTTTAAAAAGTACTACTTGAAGGTGCTATAAATTTGTGACATATGGCTGGACAACTAATGTGCTGTCATAATGAGTCAGTTTTTAAGCATAAGGTAAATGTTCTGACTGACTCATAAAAGATTTGTAAATTCGGCAAGTGCGTTTTCGTTTACCGTAAACATTTAAATCCGAGAGCAGATCCAGTCATTGGCGTCCAAACTGTTCCAGAAATACACATTTTGAAAATCGATGTTTAAGGTTTTCGTTGTCCACTGAATGCATTATTAATCATAAAGTGAAATGATGTATTTTTCTGTTGTATCCCAATTAAGCCCCGATTGAGGATTATTAAAACGCAAAAATTGGCTTGCTAGGATGGAGAATTATTCGAGGGTGGGCTAGCAAAATTATTACCAATTTTTACTTCCAAGGTGTTTGTGATACAGTCTGTGATGAGAGCTTTATTCCTTCAATTTTTGTATAAAACGAGGCTCTGCCTCCTTCCAGACGGAAAGGAAACCTTTGGCCTAAATACCGCCAAAATTCGAGTTGTCTTTCGTCATTTAGGAAACTACTACTTTTTAGTCCTACATCTTGGACTCAGTTAACAATGTAAGTATTGAGGATACAAGCTAAGTTGCCTAATGGCTGTGATTGTGATATTTCTGTGTAGAATTTTTTTTGAAAGAGCAGGTAGGTTTTGGTTTAATCATGTTGTTGGCTTTTGGTTTGCACTTAAGGTACTCTTTTTTTAAAAGGTGAGGTGCTACAAATTATTTTTCCTTAGTATGCATAAAACGATACATGAAAACGTAATTAGATGTCAATTACCTCTCATAAACCTGGTGTTTCTTGATGATCTAAGAATGAGGAGATAACAGGTCAGAACACGTGGACGTCTATGCTTGTGGCTACACATGGCTGTGAGCTAAAGCATTTGAGCTGTGAAAGCCATTTGTGCTGCAAACGAAGGTGTTTGAGCTACAAGCAAGTACGTTTATGAATGCAAGACTTTACTATATATGATTTTACAGGAGTCCCAAGTAGCCTGTAGGATAATCAACCACTTGAACGAGATAGTTGAAAGCTTTCAGAATTTATTGAAAATCCATAAAAAGCCAGACTTGCATTTGCTCGCAGCTATGTTGGACTCCTTGTGCTAGCATCTTGGACTTTTTTTACCCGAATATCAATGTAGTCATGTATAATATACTTAGTTATGTATATAATAGACATTGTTGCTTGCAGCCCAAATGCTTCTGCTCACAGTTTGCAGCTGATAATGTGCCTTTGGTTGGTAAGGCCCCGTAAGCAAAATCATACAAGTTTTCCAACATGGATAATAAGGATCTGACAGATTGAATAAATTTTGCCATTTTTTATAACAAGAGTGAACAATTCTCGAAAAATAACTTTATTCATAATTTTCCAAAAATGACTGTCTGCTTCTTGTCTCTAGGCTAGAAAATCTACCCTATCTGATTTTCAAAATGCTATAATTCATTGTTTGCTCCAATAGTTGTATCTTCCAATGGTGTTGCTGGCTCTTTGGCTGCTGTAAACAAATCAATCTCTGAATTGAAGACAAATGTGAAGTTTGAAGCTTATTTATACAATCCGTCTGAACCAAGCCTGTTAGAAAATGGTAAGTTTCTATTTTAATTGGTGACTTCCATGACCCAAACAGAAATCCAGGTTGTCCTTGCCTATTTGGCCCTTTTCAAAATCCATTTTGCCACTAACTAAAATGTAACTTAAAATTTTCACTCTAAAACTAGCAAATCCTTACAAGTTTCACTCTAAACTGACAAGGTTTTCCTGATTAAAGGCAATCTGTCACAGCGTTGATTGGTTATAAGAACAAAGGGATTTCTATTGGTTGGGATAGATTGGGATTTCTATTGTTTCCAGTCCCTCTTTAATTTATCGCATTGTAAAAAATATGGCGGAGTGCTGGAATCGTGTTTAGGCTATTGTTCCAGCTATTGTTCTCGTTAATCAATCCACAAGGAGACCGATTGCCTTTAATCACCAAAATGCAAAGTTGTTGTATGAAAAATTGGAGGCTGAAATCTGGTCATACATAAAGATGAAAGAAATGTGAAGTTTATTGTGGATAGCATGTTTTGCAAGATGTTTTGCCAAACTGTTCTGTTTCTGGTTTTAATAATGTTTCTCTCTCCTCTTATTTCTTTGTTTCTTAGAATTGAAATCATGGAACTGTTTTTTCTATTATGTTATAGACTCACACCGATTATAAAGATTCATATATAGTAGAGTAGAAGTCTATTTTTCACAAAAAATTACTATAACATTGACAGATGAAGAGCGTTACACAAAGTGTTACCCAAGCAGTCATGCTCTCTTTGAATAGCTTATTATTAGGCATATTATAGTGTAAAGAGATCTGCAAATACATTCAGTTTGTCTTATTGCTCAGGTGGTCGCTTATTGTAAAAATAGCTTCTCTAAGTATGTAGGAAAGTTTACATGGAGTGAAGGACGATAAGCTATTGCTTAAGTATGTGTAAGGTTTGCTAGTTTCAACTATCAACTCTTTTGTTTCTTAAAACTGGAGAGAATATTTTTGCCATAGGTTTTAAATAGCATTAAAATATACCTTGAATTTCCTACACAACTTTGATAAAAGTGTTCCACAGTTTTTACTGTTATTCAGCTTGTAGAATCATTAAGTCTGCAAGCCTTTTTTAATGTTTTGCATTTGAGTCTTTTGTTTTATCTTCAAGGCAAAATTCTTTTGGAGAAAAATGGTTCCGTCATGTTTCACATGTCTGGCTCAGGAAAATCATCACTTTTCATGGCAAGCCTTCTCAATTTACAAGCTTTTGACATCTGGAGAAGATCATGTGTTGCTGAAGGGAATTTGGCATCAGTTATTCCAGAAGGCCGGCGTGCCGTCATGATATCAAGCATTGAGGAGAACAGCCTTGTTATTCAGAAACTCATGAAGAAACTGATGTGGCCCACTGTTGGCATCATTTATCAGAGTAAATTCTTTTTCTTAAAATTTTATAGAACTTCCTAGATTGTTTTTCTAAAAACTTTTCATATTTTTAAGGATTTATCGAAATGTTTTAAGCTGGCAGTTGCTCACAGTTTTTTTATTCAGATCAAATTTTCTATTACAGTTTTGGAACGTGAAAAAACATTATGTTTTTATCCTTGGCACCAGAGAAATAGATGCAATTTTCAAGAAGCAAAGCTTTGTCCCTCTACCAATTCTTGTGTTGCAACTGTTCCCTGTTTAGCATTAGCACAAGTTCCTTCAAATTTTCATTTTGCCAGGTTTCAAACTTTGTAAGACGTTTCTATTCATTATAGTTCATAATATATAATAAAATCAATATTCTCAAATTAGACCTTTATAGAGAAAACCATTTCAATTTTAGCCATGTTGTGTTTTTACGAAAAATATTGATAATCAAAATTTTGGTTTTCACTGTTAGAAAATAATGTAAAATATTAATCCAAGTTCCCCTCAATGTGAAAATGTGAATTTGACAATGATTTCGTTTGTAACCAGGTACCTTTCTTTATATACAGATTCAAGAGAGGCTGATGTTGAAATCTTAACAGGAATACTTCGAAATGATGATATGACAGTGGCTATTGCCGGGATTGGCTGCAGAAGCAATGGGAGTATCGAGAGCTTTGCACACAGAACTCTTAGAAACCTCATTTCTGAAAAACCATTCGGAATCATCATAATTTTTGATGAAGACAAGCTCCAAAAGTTATTTGATTATGTGAGTAGATAAGAAATGTATAGATTTTCAGCTCTATGAAATTTGTTTATGTGTTTGCACATGATGGCTTTGTTATAAAAACATATATTTTGGTAAAGGGACGCAATCCCTGTGAGTGACATTGGAGTAATAAGAGTGACCAGTGCCTAAATGTGTAATGAAGGCTGGTTTAATATGCTAGATAGGCTTTCAGGATAAGGCTGTCCAGTTGGACCCTCCTATTAACGGTATAACAAATTTTCTGCAGGCCCTTACAACATTATTTAGAAATTACTTCTTTCTTTTGCAACGCTATACTCTTACGAAAACCTTATCCGGTCCTGTCATTCAATACATAAGAAAAACATTTGAACATCGGAATTGCTCTAAAAATGCCCTTGCACAGTGAGCTTGGTGATGGAGGGGGCAAGCTGTCAACAAAATTGGGGTAAATCTAGATGTTTGATATCTACAATATAATCCACACGAGTCATTTTGATGTCATAGTTCTTTAATCTTCCTAGTCATCTACCACAGCTGGGTAATTGCCACCTATTCTGATCACCTTTGGTCGATTTTTTGCACTTAAGTATCTTTTTGATTTAGTTAAATTTAGGTTTACTTTTTAAGTTCAGATCAACAAACTTTGATGCTAATAATTTTGAGGATGATTAAAAAGTTCACTGAAAGCTGTCTAGTTATCTGTTTCCACCACAACCATTTGTCACACCCTTGAATACTACGTAATGCTAGGTGCTAGGTCTACAAAAATGATGGTCGTATGGCACGCCAGATCAAGTATCGTTTTCGCTGTTTTAAGGAGGACTTTGAAATTGTAGATTCACTGACCAGAGAACATATGATACTTTTTCTGATCTCTTATTCGTCTATGGTCTCTTATTAAATCATTGACATTGCTATGCACTCTTATTCATGTCAAAATCATTTTTTTACAGCTTAGAACAGACATATCTGGTCTGAAGTCTATGGCTTTGAGTTTTATCATCTTCGATCCGGTTGGTATATCTTTAATGAATTGTTACATTTTTGATCTTCACGCTAATGTTGGTCTCTATATGAGCCATTCTCTGCTCTGCAACATCGCGTTATCGTTATCTCTTTTTGAAGACCTTTGTTCGCACGGGTCTTCATTTGAGCAGTTTTGTCCACGCGATCTGTTCAGCGTGTCGTTAGTGCCGACCTCCACTAAAGTGGTTTTGTACGCGGGAGCTCTTCAGCTAAGCGTTAGTGCGGATCTCCATTTGAGCAGTTTTGATCATGAGAGCTGTTCAGCCTCACGTTAGTGTCGATCTCCACTGAGGCGGTTTTGTTCGCAGGAGCTGCGCAACCAATCTTAAAAAAAAATGAAAAAATGATAAAAGAATCTGCACTTGCTTCGGGTCCTTCTGGCTGCTAGGGGAAAATTTTGTTACCTTTCAGCGCAGCTTATTCTCAATGCACTCTGCCCGCACGACAAGTGAAGGGTTACTTTCGTCTACCACTTGCACGCGTACGAAACTGCTCAAGTAAGCGTTAATACATCCCATGACATCACAACAATAAAATATAAAGACAATCAACGAACAAATAAATTAGGATGTTGAAAGTTTAATGATTTTATTAGCTAAAACAAAGCACAGGTGAACAGATAATATATTATTTACCTATAAACGATTTTTCTTATGTTAACTTCCAAACTCCGATATGTGGCATGGAAATTGTGTAGTTAACTTACAGCTACTGTGTATATAAATTGTATATATTTATCCACAACTGGGTATATATATTTCCTAGCGTGAAGTTTTCGATCTATGTTCTGACGTTTTAAACTCTGAAGAGTGTCAGACGAAAAGCTATAGTTTACTAAATGTTTGCTTTTTTCAAAGCTATATTGATTTTGTATTGGTAAAAGGCTTTAAATAATTGTATAGAACATTGGATAATTGAATAAACACATAGTTTGCCAAGGAATAACTGTCATTGCTCTAAATTTCCTTTTATAAGAGATTCAATTTTTCTTTCTGGAAGGTCGTCACAAACACCCTTACTGCTGATCCATGGTACACCCTTATTGTTCTGCAAATATCTTTGGAAGAAACCGCGAAGTTGCAGGAACTCAGAACCGAAATTGATAAAACAGCAGCCAATTCTCGAGAAATAGTGAGTATAACAGCTTTTCGGATTTTGTAAAAAATGATTGTGTTTCGAACTTATAATGTGCCAAACAAAATTTAATTAAATGCGACTCAGGAACCACCTTGGACTGTGTTTGATTTGGACGGCGGTGTCCATTTTGCTAAAGCACTGTGTTTGATTTTTCCTCTTCTTTCGCGCGCTTTCCTAGAAACAGTGGTACCGTGGGTTCCTGGGGAGGAAAATTAATTGTGCATCAAGTTCGGCAAATGAGAGGCTCGACGTTTGAAACGGAGTCAAACTGCAATCGAAAGAGTTCGTTGAGATCTGCCGTGCCAAAATGCTTTTGCCGTACTTAATTGATTCATACATTTCATACATACATTTCTCGCATCCTGTGCAGTGGCGGATTTAGACCGGAGCAAACGGAGCAGCTGCTCCAGTCAGAATTTTCTAAATTTATTTTAGTGCCTGTTTGATATTAACTTAGCTCTGTTACTTCATAAATCATCAATTAATACTTCCTGATGCCCCCCAAACAACCCCTGTGGACTAGATAGGTGCCTTAGAGAACTGGTTTACATTTTCTCGTCTGAGTTGCTTATGTGTTGACTGTGGAGGAGATGTTCACAATTTTGCTCCACACGAAATACGTCATGGTCAAATAAACCAATCAGACCACTGGATTTTACTCCAGTTGATGAAAATTTGCTCCAGGAAGTGCTGGTTAGCCAATCAAACTACTGAGCAACTGGAGCAAAATCCAGCTCTGCGATTGGTTTGAATCCGTTATCGGGAGCAAGTTGGAGCGCACTCTTTCGAATTGGAGCTTTCGTAACGTTCTGTGTGTAACGGGGCTTCGAAAAAAAACTGACGACAAGGATTTGAGTTTTTTGAAAGAGAGACGGCAAAACAGGTATGTTTACTAATGTTAATTATGTATGTCGTTTAAGGGAGCCCTCTTTTTGATGCTGTCGTTGTGGACGTTTATAAACCCAATGAGATAGGGGTTCATTTAGGCCTATAAGCAAGTCATGTTATTTAACAGATTACTTTCTTATCACAAAGTTATTTGGAAGTAATAATGGTACAGATCGTTTTGTCTAATCTAAAAGCGCAAAAGGTCCTTATGCCTTGGCCGCTGGGAATACTTGTGGGAATGTAGCTAGCTGTAATAAATAGAATCAAAGCTCTTGTCAGAGGCGAGGGGCAATTCACTCTTTCAGCTGCCAGTTTCCCTCCAAACAAACAGATTTCTAGGGATTTTTAAAAAGAGCTATAGGGTTTCAATTGTTGATTTGCCCCTCGATCAAGAGTGTTTGTCTCAAGCACGGAGCTCTGCTCTGAATTCAGGAGTTTTATGTAATTTTAATATTATGATTTTCTTTGAATATACGAAGAGAAAGGAATTGGTATCAAACGTTGCTAATCTGGGTGGGTCGCTAATGACTGATATGATATAATCGATTTCAATACTCTATAAATTGTCTTTCAAACTGATGTTTGTCTTCCTTCATCTAAGAGATAATAAAAGCTATTCACAAATGCAGCTTGTGTTGATTGAATTCAGCGATTGAAAAACCACAACGACAGGTTTTCTGATCCATCAAACTATGTACGGTTGTGTGAAAAGGAGGGAAAATGGCCGCGAACTGCCAAAAAATTACATAACGGAAGTGTTTGACGGCCTCTTGATATTGCACGTGCTAGCCCACACGAACTTTAGAGAGTTGGCTTATAAACGCCCCCATGTGTTATTTACAAAACAATAACTTCACATTTCCGCTTGTTACTGGGTTGTTCTGCTTGTTACTGGGTTGTTACTGGGTTGTTCCGCTTGTTCCTGGGTTGTTCCGCTTGTTACTAGGTTGTTCCGCTTGTTCCTCGTTTTAGCAACGTCGTTGAATTCAGACCATTAGCATTTTTTAGTATTACGATTACATAGGCGTGTTTTTGAAACTGATAAGAATGACACTTCTACCGATGAACAAACTGCTATTTCCGCGAAAAACCACCGCAAAGGAAACTTTCAAAGGCATCAATTTGATTAAAGGGCACATGTCGCTTTAGTAATCGGCTAATACAACAAAAACGTTTGGTGTGAAATTCCATTCTTTCGTGACTTGTCATTTATACGTCATGAAATTTTACTGCCGTGAAAAGATAAAAGATTCAGTTTGGTTTATTATTTTAAAATTCCGAGTTAGTTGCGTGTTTCTGTTGAGAAAGAATTCCGTCAACTAAAGTACAGTTTCAAGCAGTTTTTTAACAAAATTTTTATAACCTCTAAATTGCTACTAGCTTTATTTAAAAGTTTGTGCTAGTTAGAAATTTTATCTGAGATTCGCATGAAATTAAAGTCGTTTTCAGAGAATCTAAAGGGCGTGGTCATAAAAAATTGTTCGGGGGCTCCGCCCCCCAACCCCCTCAGGTTCTGCTCCACTCAGAATTTTCGCTAGATCCGCCCCTGCTGTGTCACTTGGATATGTATTTTTTTTGTTTTCTTAGGCCAAACATGCTCTGTTATACGATGCAGTCATGACTGCAGGAACTGTTATCGACACCCTAGCATCAATGGGAAATTGGACCGGTTATAGTGGATCTGCATTGAACCAAAGTCAGCTGCGAGCTGCCAATGGCTTAGAATTCAACAAGGAGTTGAAAAAGGTATCACTTTCAGTATCAATGTACATGCTTAAAAATATTATTTCTTTGCCGTTAAATTTCTGGAACTGAAAAAATTACCTTTATTCGAAAGCGTTTATATAACTTTTTGCCAAACTGTAAAATTCTAGCTGTTCCTCCTCTTTATAACATCTTATTTCTGATCGTTATTCTGATGTTTTTTTTTCCTGGTACAATTTACTTACATTGATCGTTATTATTTCAGTTTAAGGGCACTGGCTTGACGGGCAAGATTGAGTTTGACGAACATGGTTTTCGAAAAAAAATGCCTTTCCATGTTATGAATTTGAAAAACAATGTGTTTGAAAAGGTAAGACTATTGAAAGATATAGCGTAGCCTTTCAGTAAAGCTTCAAGAAAGGGGACAAAGGTTCTTAGGTAGAATATCTGTTGCATAAAACATGGAAGTGTCATGATATCTTGGGGTAATAGCAGAGTCCAGAAAACATTACGGTTCCACGACTGCTGTGGGCCGGATAAAAGTTATTCAACGATGCACTTGTTTTTGAGTCAGGCCAACACGAAAAGTAAAGACCAAACCATGAAAATTTCATCCCTAAGAAACCTCAATTCAAAAATGCATGGAGATTTCTGAGGAATGCCAGTAGGGCAAAATTGACCCAAAGAAAGATTGAGGCGTTTTCCGAACTCTGGATAATAGCCCTATTTTCAAGTATGAAAAACAGGGAGCAAAATAATGTCTATCCTTTCTGGGTTCTTTTGGGTTCTTTCCAACTTTGGAAACCGAATATAATAAGGCAAGGGTTGTGCTTGTTACTTTGATAACTTCTCTTTTGATTGGCCGTCATCACGGTTGGCACTGAATCATGTTGCTACTAAAAGCTGGCATTCGATTAGCCTAAAAAGTAATGTTGCTACTGAAAACGGTGCTTCATTGCATTGGTACAAATCAGATCCAGTGACTGTAATAAGCTATTGAATTTGTGATAAATGCAGATCCAGTGACTGTCACAAGCTATTGAATTAGTGATAAATGAAGTGCAGCACTTGGTTCACTAGTCGTTTAGTTGGAAATAATTTTAGATGAAAAACAACGAAAAGTGTTTGACCTTTTTAAGGTTAAGTCTTAATGACCACCGGGCTCTGCATTTGCTCTTCCTTGTTCATTGTAAATGTAGCTTTCTTGTTTTTTTTTAAGAAATTTTTATCTAACTGCATTCCGATTCTGTTCAATTATATAGTTTGTAGTTTCAATTACAAAGTTTTATATTTCAGTGTTATAGTTTTATCTCATTAAAGTGCCAATAGCTTGAAGATATCATAGCACTAACTATTTCCTTCAAGATTGGAAGTATTTCTGAAATTGGTAGCGTTCTGCTTGAAAGACAGCCAGTGTCAAATGTGGATTTTGATCAACAGCTGAAAGTGAATGGACATTTGAAGATAGTAACGATATTGGTATGTTACATTTATTCGTTGGAAACTGCATTGCATCTTTCTGAGTTATAAGGAGATTAGATCAGACGATTAATTTTAAAAGTTTCCAAATGTTCCATCTAAAGGCAATTGACACCTGTCAATCATTGCCTTTAAATAACTGCCGTGTACCTTGCTGTTGATTGGTTTTACTGTTTACATGGATTTTGTTTTGGTAGAGTTTTGCTGATATCTATACGTACTAATAACATATTTTAAAAATGATGATAATCATATAGCCTATCCATTGTGTTGAGATATTTTATTTTTTGTTTATAGTTTTTCAGTTTTGTATTCATTTAGCTTTATGGCCCCTTGAAAATCAGTACTGCTGAAGGAAAACCCTACTTGAATATTTGAAAGTGAATGAAGGAAATGAATGAATCTAGTCTCGTCATCGAGTTAAGTTTTGACAGTACTGCCTTTGCTAAAGGAAAACCTTCTGCAAAGTATGAAGATGCATTAAAAAAAGCTGTTAATAGGCAAATCCAGGGCCACATTATGGATTTTGGGGCCCTTGGCATAGAATGTTATGAGGGGCCCCTATGTAGATGTACGTACCTGAAATTGTGGTGATGGCTGCACAAAGGCCTAAGCAAAAATATTTTTATCGAAACGTTTGATTTCATGTGTTATAGATACCTTTCCGATAAAACCTGACAATGTCACAAATTTTAGGCCCCTCTGATGCTAGGGGCCCTGGGCACAGTGCCCAGTATCCTGTGGTTAATCCTACATTGGGCAAACCCAAACAAAACAGTTCAGGATAAAGTAATGCTTGGGTTGTATCAGACATTTTTAGCCCGGGCTCATGTTTGATAATACCAATTTTCTTACTGAGATTTCGTAACAGTTTTGTTTTCACCCTTACAAATTACAAGATTTTGAAATATATAGATCAAGGTATTTAAACAAACATGAAATAGGTATTGTCAGGAAATTTAAATGGGACTTGAACTCAAATATCAAACCTAGGTTTGTTTTCGATATATCTTTTGCTAAAAAAAGTCAAGTGAAATTGAACTGTATTTTAAAAGACAAATCTTTATATATTTCGCGATTTATAGCCTTTTGTTCCCTTTAAATTTTCATGAATTTGAACTTCCATCGATTTTAAAGAATTTTCCTTGCTATTGATAACTCCCATTAAATATACATTAATGTTTTTCTCATTGGAGTTTCGATAAAAGTTTTTCTTTTGGTTACTTGGATGATTCAAATACCATTAAAGGCTGTTGCACAACCAGCATGCTTTGCAGTAGCTCTTTTTACGCGAGAGGGAATGGGCTGTATTTGTATTTTCATTCAGTACGACATCGACGTCAGGCCGGTTTTTAAAATGTAGCCTCAAAGCATACCGGCTTCGTAAGAGCCTTCAAGCATAATTCTTTTGTATGTGCTTCCTATTTCAATAATAAGATTGTTTCTTCTCGAAGAACGAACCTTACACGATGAAAAGAACTTTCCAGAACGGAACAGTTGAATACTATGGCCTACTTATTGATATCGCAAATGCTCTTGCAAAAGAGGCAAACTTCACCTACTCTCTGTACGAGGTTGCAGATGGTAGATACGGTCATATAGATAATGGCAGGTGGACTGGACTCATTGGTGACGTATTATACAAGGTAAGTGTTGTCAGTCATGAAAGATGTCAGTCATCTTCAAAATATATGTAGCTGACGAGTAGCTTTAAGCTGGCAGGTTAACATTAACAGTCATTTGCTCGTATGGACATGACAAGCAAGGAACACGCGACTCCCAATTATCTTCAGTCTCAGTACTTACTACAATTGGCACATCATTCTTCAACGCAGTTCTTTCACATTACGATGAAAACGTTTCAAGAAACATTTAGCTGGAAAAGCTCATATAACTAAGATGATGGGAATTTTAGTGTTATGCATTGATACAGGTTGCTCATGATATTTTTGCATCGATACCTTTTGCTGTCAGATAATGAAAAGGCACTTTAGTGTTGCAGTGACATTTTCCTAGTTGATTCAAAGCCACAGGCAAACAATATTTTTCCATAATTTTTCATATTCCCCGTTTGAAATAGGATAGTGCCAGCTCACGCTCCTGAGCTGAGCTGTCTCACTGATTTGCCTTCTGAGCTGTCTCACTGATTTGCCTTCAGAACAAAGCCAATTGGCATGCATTACATTTGAATATAACTTATTTTTAGTTACCACAGTATTCAAAAGTGTACCACAGTGTTTCTATTTTAACTCGTGTAGTTACTACTGTGGTAACTCGTGTGTACCACAGTGTTTCTATTTTTCTATTATGACTTTTGTTGCTATGTTTTGCCAATATCTCTTGTTAATTTTTTCACATTTCAACATATATGTCTCTTTAACTAAACAATTAGAAGTCTATTTTCTTATTTTGATCACCATTTTACCCCAGAGCGATTCTTACCTTCTTATAAATTATAATCCTTATATACAGCAGAAACCTTAATAGGAAAAAACTACAGATTTTCCAGATGGTTATGTTGTTTCAACTGTGAGAGCAAAACTTGTTATATTCTTGCCTAGTTTCAGCTGCTGTTATTAAGCCTAACATCTCTAACTCGTGTCAGCGTTGACATTTTAATCCCTGACATGTTTATTGCTTATTCCTTTGTTATAAGTGGCCTTTAAAAATTCTTGAGATGATTTGGTAATTACTGAAATTTCAATTTCTAATAGTATTTGAATTTTTTTGAAAAGGCACTTCAATAACCCAAAATCCAAACCCTCGTAAAGGCAATCTGTCACGACGTTGATTGGTTATAAGAACAAAGGGATTTCTATTGTTTCCAGTCCCCTTTTAATTTATCGCATTGTAAAAAATATGGCGGAGCGCTGGAATTGTGTCTAGGCTATTGTTCCAGCTATTGTTCTCGTTAACCAATCCACAACGAGACAGATTGCCTTTAACTGAACCAGCACTTCGATCTTCTTTCACAGAAGGCAGATATGGCTCTAGCAGCATTAACAATAACTGCAAGCAGAGAGGAGGTGATTCATTTCAACACTCCATACATGGAGGTTAGCATTGGTTTGATAAAGAAAAAAACAAATGTGGCCCACCTTGACTTACTACTGTTTATGGAACCATTCACCGGTGTAGTCTGGTTACTAACCTTGACCGCTTGCCTCTTTGTTGGACTCTTCCTCTTCTTTGTCGATGCTTTTAGTCCGTTTGGTTGGAAACAAGTCGGGGAAAGAGCTACCGGAAGACCTGGAACAGAGTTCAACATTTTGAACAGCATCTGGTTTTCAATGGCTTCCATCTTGCTTCAAGGCCCAGATAACACCCCAAGATCATTGTCGGGTAATCTCAGATTTAGAGCGTATTCTTCTTTTAATTAGATTACGACTACGATTATGTTAATTAGCTAATTGGCTGCCCCCCCAAGTGTATGAACTTTTATCAAGTTCACTAAGATTATCGATTATAGTCGTCGTTAGATTTTAAGGGACAGATTTTAAAGACAATAAACATAGAAATAAGTTTGTTCTTCCATTCATATAATGTGATTTGTCCTTCTGAGAAGACAAACCAAAGATAAAAGGCGATCTTGGCGGGGATGAAATAAACTTTCTTTTCTTATGTTAAAGTTCAGCATGGAAAACATTTCTACTAAAATTCGCCTTCTAATACATCTCACTGCTATTCTTAGTTGAAATTTGGCTAACTTTCTTTCAAATTCGCTGGTATTATCGATTGAGGTGCCGTTTGTTTAAAAGTTTGGTTATTGTGGGCTAGTGATCTTGGAAAAGTGACTTTTGTTTTTCGTGTATACCTTTGTTATAAGAAAACTTGTCCAAGTAAACGTTATCTAAAGATAGGATTTTGTTCCAAAGGGAGAATACTCGTTGGATGCTTTTGGTTTTATGTTCTTATACTGACATCAAGCTACACTGCAAATTTGGCTGCTTTCTTCACTTCGACAAAGCAAACGGAGCAACAGGTCAACCTAGAGTCACTCTTGAAAGAAGGTGCACAGTTTACCACCATTGAGCATTATGCTCTAGAGCAGTTTTTGAAAACTTCCAATTATAAGATCTACAACAGGGTACACGAGAGAATGACTATCCAGAAGGCCCTTGCAAGCGGCCTCGCAGATGCGCTTAGTAAGCTTGAGAAAGATCCTTCTATGTACTACCTTGAGGAGAAACCTTTCATACAGTGGACAATCAACAAAAAACCGTGCGATCTCAAGATAAGTAAGTATTGAACTCATTTTTCTTTTTGTTGTTCTGGGTCAGTAGGTTTTAACATGCTCAGAAAGACGCCTTATGTTGATGGAATTTCAAATAACTGTCATTCTTGCTTTGAATAGCTGCAGTCATTTTACGTTTGTTGTGTCTTCTATTCGCCTTTTGAAGAAAATCATTATAGGAGTTGCAGTATTGTTTCTGCTTGATGCAAAGCCCACAAGTTCCTACTACAAAGCTCGCTACAAATTGTGGGAACATTTAAAAATAGATGCATTATCTTATGAAACAAAAAAGGATTCTCTAGCATCTAAACCGTAAGCAAACTGATGATATTTAACTTGGTATCAAGAGCGTATTTGCTACCCAAGATAAGGACTAGATTATGATGTTGCTATTGTTAGCCCAGATGAAACCATGATATTTTATTAAAGAAATGCTTTAGATGTCTCCCATAACTCTGGTAAGTTTTTGGCTTCAGGTTTTTTACCCTTATATGAGTTGCTTTTTTGCAGCTGAAGGTAAGACAAATAAGAACACCAATAACTGCTACCATATTTAGTATTCATGCATCTTATACTCTGCCATCATTTAATTTGTAGACATTTTGTTTAAAATCCTATTTCAGATTATTTTTTGAAAATCAAATTCAAAATTATCTTTTATTTTAGATTTTTTATGAATTTTGAAAACAGCTTGAACGCATCAACCTTTTTCTTTGATATTTGAATTATGGAGCAGTCATGCAAACCTTTCTTTCCAGCTGCGATATATCTACGTGCCCATGTCATATGAAGCAAATTGGAACTCATTTCCAAGGAGTGTTATTTGGAAATCACACTTTTTTCAATGTTTTTGCGAAATTTGTTATCAAGCTATGTTGTCAAGCTATTTTTCATTTACTAGCGACAAATCTTGCTTGCATCCAGCTCATTTGGACAACTGTTGAAAGTTTGTGTAAATTTTAGCTGAATGTTTTCTCAATAGAAAATTTATTTTTATTTTTTACAGAACTCTAAACTTAAGTTCTTTAATATCCGACTCTGGCGGACCATATAAAAACAACAGTTTAGGTTGATGGTCTGTTTTGAATAAAACTCCTTAAACCACAACATTTCACTTTTTCGTTATCGTTATGTTCTTGCTTTTTCAGTTGACACCACACTACCCAAAACATATTTTGGTATTCCTGTCAGAAAGGATTCTTCAACGAAACCTGCAATATCACATGCGATTTTGAAACTTCTGGAGTCTGGTTTCCTTGCAGAAAGACGTTTCTATTATATGGATACTTTAAGTGAATGCAAAGAAACGGACGATCATCAGCATGGAAGTATGTAAATTTTATTTCATATATCCGCAAAATTTGTGTATAACCAGCATTGTCTGCTATAAAAAGAGTTCTTTAAACATATTTGGTGAGATTTTGTCCAAATAGGAGTTTGGATCGTTCAAA